GGGGTTGTTTCTCCTCCTATGATTTTGCCCTTATAGTTGAGACAGGGTGGTCCCCCTTCCCCCATAGTGATAGGGTAAAGTCCTAATAGAAATTTTACATTGTGTGGATAAACCTGCATAAAAGTTTTATTGTTCGCTTATTCTAAATATATCTTAATTTACAGAGCGAGCAAATCTTGTACAATTGGCAGTCCAAAAGCTGGTCGAAATTGGAGTTTCTATCGTCAGTGTGGTTTGCGATGCACCACAGGTTCAACTTTCTATGATGAAAAAACTAGGAGCAGACTTGGATCCAGAAACTGTTAAGACTAAAATTTGTGAAGATATGCAAGAAAGTCCAATCCATTTTGTCCATGATATGTGTCATTGCATCAAAAATGTTCGTAATGTAAAAAAATATACACACTCAGACATTTATTGAAGGTGATAAAATAATGTTTAAAAAAACCAAACCTTTAAATTCACCAAAAAAAAGAGGATGAAAGAAGTATTATTAATATTATAAAGATTTATTTTTACACATGAATATAAAATTGTTATAATATGGTACTTAACATTACTGTATTATATTTTTTTCAAACTTATTGTTGCATATTTGTTTTCAATTAAAACTGATCCAAATTTTTTAGTTCTAATGAAGCAGTAGTGTACTCTGCTTAAAAAGTAAATACTTAATATTAAAAAACAATTTAAAACTTGTTCTAAACCTTAAAATAAATTCTGCTTAAGTATCTGCAGCAGTCCTTAATCCATTAGCTGTTCACACAAAGTCATGACTCATGGTCAGGTTCTCAAAACAAGGCAGGGTTTCCTTGTATTCAGACAGATTCTCGACAGTTATATTTGTAAATGATATATTCAGGGATCTAAGTGTACTACCACAAAGCTTAAGTATCTGCAGCAGTCCCTTGTTTGTGAGTTGTTTACATTCATTCATGTTCAGGTTCTCTAAACAAGGCAGGGTTCCCTTGTATTCAGACAGATTTTCTCCAGTTATATTTGCTTCTGATATATCCAGGGATCTAAGTGTACTTCCACAAAACTGTAGCATCTGCAGTAGTCCTATATCTGTGACTTCTTTACAGAATCTCATGTTCAGGTTCTCTAAACAAGACCGGGTTCCCTTGTATTTAGACAGATTTTCTCCAGTTACATGTGTTCCTGATATATCCAGGGATCTAAGTGTACTTCCACAAAGCTGTAGTATTTGTAGTAATCCCTTGTTTGCGAGTTGATAACAGTAACTCATGTTCAGGTTCTCTAAACAAGGCAGGGTTCCCTTGTATTCAGACAGATTTTCACCATTTATAAATACTCCGGTTATATCCAGGGATCTAAGTGTACTTCCACAAAGCTGTAGTACCTGCAGCAATCCTTTATCTGTGAGTTGTCTACAGAAAATCATGTTCAGGTTCTCTAAACAAGCCAGGGTTCCCTTGTATTCAGACAGATTCCTTCCAGTTATATTTGTTTCTAATAAATTCAGGGATCTAAGTGTACTTCCACAAAGCTGAAGTATCTGCAGCAATCCTTTGTTAGTGAGTTTATAACATTTTTTCATGTTTAGGTTCTCTAAACAAGGCAGGGTTCCCTTGTATTCAGACAGATTTTCTCCATTTATAAATGCTCCTGATATATCCAGGGATCTAAGTGTACTTCCACAAAGCTGTAGTATCTGCAGCAGTCCATTATCTCTAAGGTGTATACAGTGACACAGGTCCACATTCTCAAAACAAGGCGAATTCTTCAAGGTCAAAGATTTAAAAGTACACTGTTTCAATATTTGTAGATACCAGTCATTATATAGAGTTCTATATATCAGATGTAGAGTTTGGAGTTGTTTTGAAACTATGTTGACATTTATTCCAGAATTAAATTCAATGATTCTTCCTATAATCAAGGTAGACAAGGATGGAAGGGAGATTATTTCATTTAATCCAGTTGATGTAAATTCACTTGTTTTCCAGGTATTTTCTTTTCCAAGTTGAAACATGAGAATTTCAGGATGTTTCTTCACAAGATACTCAACACCATCATCTGTAGCATTTTCAACTTCTAAACCTAGAATTTTAAAATAGTAAGTACAGTAAGAAATTTATTGATAAATTTAATTTATTAAAGAATCGATAAATAGTCTAAAATGTATCTCATTTTTAACAACAGGTTGAAAGTAGTTAACATATAGTTATATTCAAAACTCGGTGATGGCGATGAACCAAAACTCTGTAGAGTAAAAAAAGTAGATGTTAGTTCCACATTTATTGAAAATATATTTCAGTCTGGGTTGACTCTCGTCAGTTCTGACGATAAAATAACCATCAAAATCGATAAAAAAATTTTTTTTGTTAAAATCTACAATAAATTAACAAACAAAAATGGTTACTTCAAAAAAATTGGGGGGCGGGGCTGTCAAATAGACAAAAGGGAAACGAACTCCGTTAGATCATGAGATGGAAAAAAAGATAATTTGCAAATATTCACATTAAAAAAATGTTTTAAGACAATTATTATTCCTTGAGTTATATAGTTCTATCTATTTTAATGCATTAATTACCTAAAACTGTTTCAACTTCGTTAGCAAACTTGATGAGCTGTTCTGTTGTAAACTCGGTAGAAAATGTCCAGTAATGAACCAGTTTATCCCCACATCCTTCAACCCTGTTCTTGAGAGTAGAGGACACTCCCCTCAGCATTTTCTTACTCCTGTAATCCAGGAACTAAAAATATACAATACTTTAAAAATATATAATACTATAATTTAATATTATCATAATTTTGAAAAGAGACGAAATTCGGGAAGTATGGTTGCCAGAACAAAAGTTAGAATATCTTTGACATTGATAATTAGACAAAAGACAGAGGATTAAAGGGCAACATTGCTTATCCAACATTATGCCTACAGTCCCTTTAAATAAATTAATATTTAAAAATCTGAACCTGAAGAATATGCCTGATTATATCAGGACACATATTGTCCAGTGTTAGTACACTCATCAGAGGGAGAAGAGAAGTAATCATCCTTCCATTATCTCTGTTTCCTTCAGGTTTACACCTACGGGATATCTTCTCTTCTTTATCCATGGTTGTCCTGAAGTAAAAACATATTCATTTATTTATTTATTCACAAAAGCACCATATTTTAGGCACCCATTCTTTTCAATGTAACTTTTGTTTCTATTATGTGCAATACCAACTGCAGTGCTTAGGATCCGGATCCAGATCCGTTGGATCCTCAAGATTTTGGCTTCCTGGATCCGGATCCGGAAAAATATCTGGATCCACGGATCCGGATCCAAGGGGTAAAATATCAACCAAAAAATACAAAAACAACTTTTTTAATCCTTAACTTTTGAAAAAAGAGAGATTATAAAAATTTCCTCATTTCTGAATGGTTTATCAAGTTTAAGGATAAAAACAAGCAAAAAAAATAAAACAAAAAATTTGAAAATTATTTCGCGGAATTAGCAAAATTTTAATTGCAGAATTCTGCAAAAAATGCTAAAAAATTTGCGCGTTATTTCACAGGAATGCGCAAAAATGCAGAATTTGCGGGGGAACAAAGAATATTCATGCATAATGCGGAATTTAAAAAAAAGTTTTTTTTATTTTACTGAAAACAATACATCCAGCATGATATCAAAATTGGACAAATAAGGAAAATACTTTAGAATAAAACTTACTTAACTATGCGATCTAGGTAGTATAATGCTGTACACACATTTATTATTTAACCAGTTGAACCACTTTTATCTGAAATAAAAAATCATTTGTTTTAAATAAAATTAAAGTTTAAAAAATTTACAAACCATTAATTTTTTGTGTTAATCTAATAATTTAAACATTTTCAATGTAAAGGTTAAATGACGGAGCCGAAAACAAATTAAAAAATTGTAATGTCACTGTATTCAGACAGATTTTTTTTATTTGTATTTGTATTTGATATAACCAGGGATCTGAGTGTGCTTCCACAAAGATGAAGTATCTGCAGCAGTCCTTTATCTGTAAGTTGTTTACAGTACCCCATGTTCAGGGTCTCTAAACGAGGCAGGGTTCCCTTGTATTTAGACAGATTCTCTCCAGTTATATTTGTACCATATATATCCAGGGATCTAAGTGTACTTCCACAAAGCTGTAGTATCTGTAGTAATCCTTTGTTTGTAAGGAGTCTACAGTCACTCATGTTTAGGTTCTCTAAACAAGACAGGGTTCCCTTGTATTCAGACAGATTCTCGACAGTTATATTTGCTCCTGATATATCCAGGGATCTAAGTGTATTTCCACAAAGCTGTAGTAACTGCAGCAATCCTTTGTTTGTGAGTTGACTACAGCAAATGTCCAGGTTCTCTAAACAAGGCAGGGTTCCCTTGTATTCAGACAGATTTTCTCCAGTTATTTTTGTGTCTGATATATCCAGGGATCTAAGTGTACTTCCACAAAGCTGAAGTATCTGCAGCAATCCTTTGTTTGTGAGTTGATTAGAGTAAATGTCCAGGTTCTCTAAAAAAGGCAGGGTTCCCTTGTATTCAGACAGATTTTCTCCAGTTACATTTGTGCAATGTAAATTCAGGGTTCTGAGTGTGCTTTTACAAAGCTGTAGTATCTGCAGAAGTCCTTTATCTGTGAGTTGTTCACAGTATTTCATGTTCAGGTTCTCTAAACAAGGCAGGGTTCCCTTGTATTCAGACAGATTTTCCCCAGTTATATTTGTAAACCCTAAACTCAACCTGAGTGTGCTTTTACAAAGCTGTAGTATCTGCAGTAGTCCTCTATCTGTGAGTTGTTTACAGAAAATCATGTTCAGGTTCTCTAAACAAGGCAGGGTTCCCTTGTATTTAGACAGATTTTCTCCAGTTATAAATGCTCCTGATATGTCCAGGGATCTAAGTGTACTTCCACAAAGCTGAAGTATCTGCAGTAGTCCTCTATCTGTGAGTTGTTTACAGGAAATCATGTTCAGGTTCTCTAAACAAGGCAGGGTTCCTTTGTATTTAGACAGATTTTCTCCCGTTATATAAGTAAACTCTATATCCAGGGATCTAAGTGTACTTCCACAAAGCTGAAGTAATTGTAGTAATCCTTTGTTTGTGAGTTTAAAACAATTTCTCATGTTCATGTTCTCTAAACAAGGCAGCGTTCCCTTGTTTTCAGACAGATTTTCTCCATTTATAAATGCTCCTGATATATTCAGGGATCTAAGTGTACTTCGACAAAGATGAAGTATCTGCAGCAGTCCATTATCTGTAAGGTGTATACAGCCACACAGGTCCAGATTCTCTAAACAAGGCAGGGTTCCCTTGTATTCAGTCAATATTTCATCAGTAATTTTGGTATTCTGAAAGGTCAATGATTTAAGAGTACTCCCACACTGTTTCAATATTTGTAGAAACCAGTCATTATTTAGACTTCTATATTCGCTAGTCAGCTGTAGAGTTTGGAGTTGCTTTGAAACTATGTTGACATTTATTCCAGAAATAAATTTAATCCTTCCTCTTATAATCAAGGTAGACAAGGATGGAAGGGAGAATATTTGATTTAATCCAGTTGATGTAAATTCACTTGTTTCCCAGTAATTTTCTTTTCCAAGTTGAAACATGAGAATTTCAGGATGTTTCTTCACAAGATACTCAACACCATCATCTCCAGCATCTTCTGCTTCAAATCCTGGAAATGTAAAATAGTAAGTACAGTAAGAAATTTATTGATAAAATTTAATTTATTAAAAATCGATTAATAGTCTAAAATGTATCTCATTTTTTAACAACAGGTTGTAAGTAGTTAACATATAGTTATATTCAAAACTCGGTGATGAACCAAACCTCTGTAGAGTAAAACAAGTAGATGTTAGTTCCACATTTATTGAAAATATATTTTAGTCTGGGTTGACTCTCGTCAGTTCTGACAATGTAATAACCAAAAAAATTGCAAAAAAAAAAATTTTTTGTTAAAAACTACAAGAAAATAAACAAACAAAATCGGTTATATAAAAAAAATGGGGGGGGGGGCTGTCCAATAGACAAAAAAGAAACAAACTCAGAAAGATCATGAGATGGAAAAAAGATAGTTTGCAAATATTCACTGTAAAAAACATGTTTTAAGACAATTTTTATTCCTTGAGTTATATAGTAATATCTATTTTAATGTATTAATAACCTAAAACTGTTTTAACTTCATCAGCAAACTTGATGATCTTATCTGTTGTAAACTCGGTATTAAACCTCCAGTAATGAACCAGTTTATCCCCACATCCTTCAATTCTGTTCTTGAGAGTAGAGGACACTCCCCTAAGCATCTTTTTATCTCTGATACCCAGGAACTACAAAATTAATGTTAATTTATGATGATCACAATTTTGAAAGAAAAGGAAATATATTTGCCAGCTAAAAAATTAGAATATCTTTGACATCATCAGAGATGTCACTTTAAGAATGGAGACATCTAGAAAATAACCCTTTAAATCAAAGTTAGAAAAGTCTGTACCTGAAGAATATGCCTGATTATATCAGTACACATATTGTCCAGTGTTAGTACACTCATCAGAGGGAGAAGAGAAGTTAACATCCTTCCATTATCTCTGTTTCCTTTAGGTTTATATTTCCCTAAAATCTTCCCTTTTTTTCTTATTTTTGAACTTGCACCAGTTTCTGTCTTGAACTCTTTCTCTCTATTTTTTTCCTGTTCACCTGTTTTAGGTATCTTCCCTACTTTTTCTACATTAATTTGACGTTTGCTGCAACAAGCACCAATTTCAGTTTCTCTGTCAATCTGATCAGCCCCTGGTGATCTTTCTTCCTCTCCATATCCCAGTTCTTGCAGTATTTTTGATGCATCAAAAGAAAAGCCACCAAAGAACTTGATATAACCATTGTTTACCAGATCTAGTGTAATTTTTGATGCGTAAGAACCAGAGAAGCCGAAGCGGATCTTTAGGAATTCTATTGTTGGATTTTCTCCAGGCTGGCAAGTTCTAAACTCTTGTTTGAGGATAGATTTAAGAACTCTCCTCTTATTCAGTTTAAACACAAATTTCTGTTTATCTTTGTATGATCTTTTTTCTTTTTTAAAATGTTCATCAATAACAACATTACCGCAAATATTTCCACAGTCTACTGCACAATATATGCATGTGTGCTTTGCTTCTAAGTTAACACCATAGCAAATGCTGTGTGAATAGTTTCCACAGGATAAACATTTAACCATCTCTGGGTCCCAGGTTTGATACAGGCAGATGCAAGAGATTATTCCAACCTTTGTTTTCCCTGTAGTTTCGTCTTCTGATCCCTCCTCAGAGGATGAATATTTGTTTCTCCTTTTCTTCTCTTCATCCAATCTATTGTACAATTTATTATTCTAGTATTTTTAGATATAAAGGACCTCATTAGTCTCCTGGAGTTTGTAATAACTCTTGTAATAATAGAGATAAATGGTGCTAAATTTGCACCTATATTCTTTCCATCCATAAGAGACAGGACAAATATTTGTTTAAATTTTTAGCTAACATATATACATACACCCAAACATAAACACATACATACAAATATTTATATTTTAGATGTTTAAATATATATTTCTTCCAATATATATTTCTTCTCATATATGTTTATATGTATATGAGCAAAGAGTTTTATCAAATACAGGGTATCTCTGAAAACAGTTGTTTTAGGCTTTTTAGGCTACTAAATATTGTTTAAATGTGCTGAAAAGGCTATCAGTAGGTACAATATCCATAAATGGGTTTTGGGTCGTCTTTGAAACACTTTACTCTAAAATGCCGTTTTAACCTTCAAAAATGGACCTAAGATTCAAAAATGTGCTTGGTCTGTAGCAAAAGTGGGGGCCTCTTGTAATAATTACATTGTACTCAATTCATACAGTAAATACAGCAAATCCTGTAATGCGATTAAAACCATTCCATGTTTGCAGGGGTCCATATAATTCCTTTTTCAATCCCATTTGGGATTGACAACTTTGTAAGAAATGGGGGCAAATTTTTTAAATAGGGGCAATTTTTTTAAATGATAATTTTTGTAATTTGGGGCATTTTTTATAATTGGGGGCAAATGGGGGCAATTGTGTTAGTGGAATTTGAAATTTTATTTTAATCGGGGGCATTTTTTTTTAAATTGGGGGAAAATAGGGGCAAATGTGTTAGTGGAATGAAAATTTTTTTTTTAAATGGGGGCATTTTTTTCCCACTTGGGGGAAAATGTGTTAGTGGAATTTGAAAATGTTTTTTTAATTGGGGGCATTTTTTTTTAAGTTGGGGGCAAATGAAGGCAAATGTGTTAGTGGAATTTGAAAATGTTTTTTTAATTGGGGGCATTTTTTTTAAGTTGGGGGCAAAAAATTATTTTGGGATCGAGAAAATCAGCTATTTTGGGAATTGTTGGACCCCTGCATGTTTGTAGAAAGATATGACGTCATATCTATATTGTGATTGCGTATCATGTGCATATATTAACCAACCATAACTTGTAATTACACAGTAAATAACCCAGTTCTAACATGAAATACGAAATAAAGATCAGTTGATTTAGACTTTGTTTTATCAAAGGTATAATTTAGCTTGAATGACAGCTCGGTACTCGTTGAATTATACGAGTGTAGATTGTACAAGTACCATGCATTGAATTAATTTAGTTTGAAAGAATACTTGTTTCTCATTGAAACAGATGAGCGAAGGTTGTTTTTGAATAATTGGTATAGACCGAACACAGCTTGTGCGATAGCCCCCGTTTGTGTCCTGTTGACATTGAGAGCCTGAGATGTAGTCCTATTTAATTGCTATAAAGAATAGACCTGGATAGATATGTCTCAAGTAAATTACTATGGAGTAAGGTTGTCTCAGAAAAAGAGATATATGAATTGGAGAGAGGAAGTATTTGGAAGTTGAGTTGGGGAGGGTAGCTTGAGATGGTAGGATATATATAAGAATATATAAAGACTTCTTAATCTTTTACCAGCAATCTGATGTTCTCTCTCTCTAATGAATCGATGTGGTTGCAAATTAAAGAAGTATATTGATCAGATCTGAGCTGAAAACTTTAGAATGAAATATCCAGAGAAGTTCATAATTTCTTGATATCCAGATTAAATATTGCTTGTTCTCCACATAAATTTAAACTCCAGATTAATTATTCGACGGGATATCTGGATATTTCATTCTAAAGTTTTCAGCTCTGGTCACATAAAGAATACAGGGTTCTTTGCACTCGCTTTGACCGCGAGGGTGGTACGCGGGTCGAACAGTTCTATTCTTCTTTGTAGGAGTTACATTTTGAATCCTTTCTCTTTACTGGTTCTATAGCGACTGTGTCTAGCCTGCTTTTTGCAGATTGCCAAATTCAGGGCAAATTTAAAGATAGTAATATTTGACAATATAAACACTTTTAGGCTTAAAAAAGATACAAAAGTGAAAACATGAAAACATATTAATAACTTTTGTTTCAAGGGATCTCAACACCCCTTTAGCTAGGCAGCATGATACTGCGCAAAATATTTACACAGGCTGGTTTTTTGCACAGGCTTATTTCTTTCTAATACTTCTAAAATTCATATTTTCTTGTCCATTATCATTTGTCATAAATGAAGCATGATATAAAAAGTTTATAGTGTCGTAACTTTTCCGTAAAATCCAAACTATTGGGATCCCAAACGATTATCAACCAATGTTCAAGATATTGGGATTAGGCTTGGTTTGGGAATACGGTATATGAATGAGATAGAACCAATTGGGAGTAGGTAAAAAAGGTTGGGAATTGGAAAGGATATCAACTAAAGAGGAAGTTGGGATTGGGATGGAAATCAGTTGTAGAGAAATTTGGGATTGGAAGATTTGGTATTAGGGATCAATGAGAGCTAGGATGAAAATAAGGGTTGTTATATTGGTAGTTAGAGTGATTGGAAAGATTGGGCAAAGGAATAGATGTTTTTTGAGAACCACTGTACTGAAGAGAATAAGCAATATTTTGAAGTTTAGTATAAAGATAACGATAGGATAAAATACTTGTGTGTAAAACTAAGAGAATAAGTGATTTAGTGGATAAAAATGTTAAATAGGAATGAAGACGACATTTTGGAAAGGATGAACGTATTATTGTCAAGTTAGAATAAGAGAGAGAAAAGGATAAAAAATCATCTTTAAAATCATTCAATAATCCGACTCAAGGTATTTGCTACAGGTCTCCTATTCAAAGATTTAAAGAATATTCAAATTATAATTTTTCTACGTTTTTTTTCGACAGAAAAGAATAAATTGCACATTTTTAATGATAAAATTGAGGATTATAAAAACTTAAAGAAAAAAATTTTTTAATTTTTTTGAAAATCTTATGAATTTTTTAAAAACATTTCGAGTACATTTCAACGTCTAAAACGGAATTATAGAGAAAAATGTTTCAACGACAATCCCTCAATTTATGGACATTGTATGGTCATACATTGTAGTAAAATAAAACAACGTTTAGTGGGTGAAAACGCAATTAATATCTTTGGAAATGAGACTGAGCACATTTTCGAATATTATGCCTAATTTTGAAGGGTACTACGGCATTTAAAAAAATAATTCATTGTAATTTTATGCAGTACATATGAAGTTCTAGCAGACTTTCAANCCCCCCCCATTTATGGATATTTTACCTACTAGAAGCATTTTTCAGCACATTTAAACACTATCTAGTCGACTAAAAAGCCTAAAACAACTTTTTTTTTTATATTTTTATATTTTATTACTGATATTTCACTGTACTGCCCTTCTCAGATATAATTTAACTAAAACATAGAAAAGTTAAAATTATTTTGAACTATTTACTCCTTCAAGAGGCATTTTCAGAGGTTTAAAGACTCAAAGCAGTGCTTAGGATCCATTCAATTTTGATGCGGATCCGGATCATGGATCAGCACTAGAAAAAAATGGATCCGGATCCAGGTCATTTCTTAAAGATTCTGAATTTTTTTTAACAAAATTTTTTTTTTCAAATTTTTGGTTTTACTTATTTTGCTAATTTTTATCCTAAAACATAATGAACCATTCAGAAATTAGAAAATTTTTAAAATCTCTCTTTTTTCAATAGTTCAGATTTGGGGTTTGGAGTAAAAAAGATTTTTTTTTGCATTTTTTGGTTGATATTTTACCCCTTGGATCGGAATCCGTGGATCCACATATTTGTGCAGATCCGTATCCAGGAAACCAAAATCTTGCTAATCCAACGGATCCGGATCCTAAGCACTGATTCAAAGTGTACAATTTTCATTGAAAGGGGCGACTAGAAATTACATTTTACTGAACACCCCACTATTATACATAGCATCCTTTAGGAAGTGTCTTCAATAGCTTAAAGATCCAGAATGCACCATTATTATCAGAAGGGGCGCCTAGAAACTAGGAACTCTTGGACTTCATTAAAGACATTTCCCTATTACAGGATTGTATGGTTTTGTAAAAATCAAAATTATCATTTTTTCTTCGTTTTTGTAAAGTAAAATCCACGAAGGGGGTGTTAAGTGATAGTTTTCTCATTGACGTTACTGACAAAGTATTTAAAAGAAATCGTTCCAAAGAAATAATAAATAGTTCAGTAATTTTATCTGCCTTTCCTCATTTGGTTTTGCATTAATGGCACTGTTTTTTCTTCATTTTCATGAGTCTAATGGGGATCAAACCATATAGGGCTCATTCTGCAAGCTGAATCTGTCCTTGTTAGGCTTTTGTCATGACCTAATATTCTGACATACTTAAAATCTTAAAACATTATAAAAAACGTCGCTTTTCTGACACAAATATTAAATAGCAGTTTTGGGGCACACACACCTTCTAACGCCCCTGATGAAGAAAAAAGATTCGAAAATTTGTCCAATCCCTTATGGATTAAAAGAATATAGGTTTACACAATTCTTTCCCTTATATTAATTACTTTCCGTTTATATTATGTACGTTCATACTTATCTAATTTCAATTTAGTTTCTAATAAGTGACTTCTGCTTTCATTTATCTGTTCTTACCTTCCATTGATAATAGACCTTCCTTTTTTCTTGTCTTCTTCTACTTCTAGATTTCTATCCTTCTCCTTCAAACCTCTTATATTGTCCGATCTATATATAGAGAATATTTTTAAGATTCTTTTCTTTATTATTTTCTTGTTCTCTTCTTCTTCTAGATTTCTATCCTTCTTCAAACCTCCTTTATTGTCCAGTCTATATATTGAGAATATTTTAAAGATTCTTTTCTTTATTATTTTCACATAGCGGCCCCTCCTCCCAAAATAATTAAGAATGCTGTACTTAAAAATAAAATTCTTCTAAAAAATGTTGCCCAAAATTAAAAACAAAAATATGAACACTACATATTTTTAAACTTGCTAAAAAAATTAAGATTTGAAGAATATTTTTTTTGAAATCCCACAAAAATTGGAAAACATTCAAAAATAAAAAATAAAAATAAATCCTAAAATGCTAAAAATGACCAAAAAATAGACAAAAAAAAAATATATCTTTTTGAATAATGAGGAAATTCGTTTTTTTGTACTTAATCAATCAACTGAAAAAGAATTTTCAAAAGTAAATTTAACTTATTTTAACATGTGTTAATCCCTCTTTCTGGATGCGGTTCCTCTTTAGCTTAAGAATGAATAAATTGTTCCAAAAATCCCACTTTTATCCTTTAAAAAATAAATTTTCCACATTTTTAAATGATGCTAGGGAATAAAGCGATATACACTAAACTGTAAAAAGAAACATATTTTAATAGGAGGTACACAATATAATACATGAAGTGCTATGACTTAACAATTTACATAATTAAATATAAGTTCCATGGCACTAGGGTAATTTGAGGGTTAGTTAAAAATATACTTTTCCCTTTACTAATTTAAACTGTATTATGATCTATATACAGTTTTGAAGTTTTATTATTTTTGAAGAATCATATTTCACCTGGAGAACATCCTTTGTCCAACATGATTTAATTCTCCAATCTTAGTCTCAGCTAAATTTTTCAATATGTTTCCATGCTGTTCATGTGTTACTTGTGTATGTAAGAATGTACATCCTCCTCCATTTCTACAGTAACCCTGTATGTAAAATTTACAGGGTTTACTCATTTTCTGAAAATAATAGATTATTACATTTTTACAGTCAACGTACCTTGTAAGCATTTAAACTCACTGTTGCAAATGCTATAATTACAAATCCAATTTTTCCGTTTTCTTTGTTTCAACTTCATTCCCTTAAGTGTGGTATTTATAAATCTATCGAATTTTTCATAATGATTTATGGTTGGCGTTGATGGTTTTAGTGTTGAAAAGGATTCCTCGTAGTACTAGGTTGCCTGAGGCTACATTTTGATTGTCTGCGCGCTAAGGGTGAGGCCAAAGTAATCCAATGGCGCCTTGGTTCCAGTTTAAATTGGATAGTAGGGAGTCATTGATTGTCTCGAGGGAGGTGATAGAAATGGACTCGAGTTCCTCTAGGGATAAATCGGAGGGGTTAGAGAAGCCTGTGGAGCTTTCTATGTTGGTTTCTTTTTTCCTTCTACTCATGACTGAAAGTAAAATAGGATTAAGAATTGTAGGTATAATTTAAGAGTAATCGATTAATATTGTGGAAATTAAGTTGGAGTTAAGTTGTGTTAAGTTAAATTAAAAAATTAAATAAATAAATAAATAAATAAACCGGGAACAAAGGGAGGGCCCGCCTAAACCCCCAACTGCAATCCACATCAGCAGTACAGTACAGGGAGAGAGAGAAAGAAAGCTAAGACCAGCGCTAGTACAGAAAGTCGTCGTCCTCGCTCGGTTCAACCCCTGGATCCAGGGATCAGCCAAAGTGAATAAATACTAAAGTGGACCAAACTCATAGTTGGATGACGACATTTTATGTCCCAAGTATTTAGAAATATGTATATATATTGGATGATAACATAGATCTGTTTTAAGAAATTTACAAACATATTTCAAAATGGAGGGAGATTTGAAACAAAACTAATCAGTTTTAAGGATAAATTCGTTTAGATTGATTAAGCGACTAAATATTATTTACATATAAACTATATACAACAAACAAACAACAACGTACAAAAATTTCTGATTTTAAATCGTGAAAATTTCGAAGTTCTATCTGAAGACGACATTTACATGGGTCTTTAGTCTATTTTTTCTAGTCTTTACTTTCCAAATGAAATCTTTTCATGAAATTATTTCCAAACCAAATAAAACCTTATGGCCCAACCTGTCGTCGTTTCCTTAGTCTGTTCCACTATAGTATTTATTCACTTTGGGGATCAGCGCCTAAACAATCAAAGGGAAACAAACTCATATAGATCATGAGATGGAAAAAAGATAGTTTTCAAATATTCACTTTAAAAAAATGTTTTAAGACAATTGTTATTCCTTGAGTTATATAGTTATTTATATTTATTTAATCGTATTAATTACCTAAAACTGTTTCAACTTCGTTAGCAAACTTGATGAGCTGATCTGTTGTAAACTCAGAATTAAAACTCCAGTAATTAACCAGTTTATCCCCAAATCCTTCGGATTTAACTCTGTTCTTGAGAGTAGAGGACACTCCCCTCAGCATCTTCTTACTCCTCTAATCCAGGAACTAAAAATATTTAACACCTTTCAATTTAATATTATCATAATTTTGAAAAGAGACGAAATTTAGGAAGTATGGCTGCCAGAACAAAAATTAAAATATCTTTGACATTGATAATTAGACAAGAGACAGATGATTAAAGGGCAACATTGCTTATCCGACATTATGCCTACAGTCCCTTTAAACAACTCAAAATTATAAAATCTGAACCTGAAGAATATGCCTGATAATATCAGGACACATATTGTCCAGTGTTAGTACACTCATCAGAGGGAGAAGAGAAGTAATCATCCTTCCATTATCTCTGCTTCCTTCCGGTTTACACCTACGGGATATCTTCTCTTCTTTATCCATGGTTGTCCTGAAGTAATAACATATTCATTTATTTATTTATCACAAAGAGCACTATCTTTTTGGCACCCATTCTTTTTAATGTAACTTTTGTTTTTCTGTTATGTGCAATACCAACTGCAGTGCTTAGGATCTGGATCCGGATCCAGATCCGTTGGATCCTCAAGATTTTGGCTTCCTGGATCCGGATCCGGATCTGCAAAAATATGTAGATCCACGGATCATGATCCAATGGGTAAAATATCAACCAAAAACTACAAAAACAACTTTTTATACTCCTAAACTTTTGAAAAAAGAGAGATTATAAAAATTTCCTCATTTCTGAATGGTTTATCAAGTTTTCGGATAAAAACAAGCGAAAAAAATAAAACAAAAATTTGAAAATTATTTTTTGTTAAACAATTTCGGTAAATCTTAAAGAAATGACCTGGATCCGGATTTGGATCCGGATCCATTTTTTTCCTGTGCGGATCCGCATCAAAATTAAATGGATCCTCAGAACTGATAACAAGGAAGATCAAAAATTATTTGTAAGAAATTTCATCGAAAAGTTCTCCATTTCTTAGGTGTTAAGCATTATTTAAAAATCCAAGTTTGCGTCAGAATTTCACAAATTTTTTTTCAGAGTATTATGCAAAAATGCGCACATTTGCTTGGGTATTCCGCAAATTTTTTGTTGCAGAATTCCGCATTTAACGCAAAAATTGATTTTGCGGAAACAAGCACGAATGATGCGGAATTCCGAGAAAAAAATTCCGCGCAAAACTAAAGTTGAAGCTTTAACAAAATTTTTCTAAAAACTTTTATTAGGAAGAACTCTCTGTTGTTTGCATGCAGTTTTTACTCGGAATTTGCGTTAATTTGAACATTTTTTGTAAAATAAAATCATTTTTTTGTGGAATTTTATCATTTATTTTAATCGCAGAATTCCGCAAAAAATGCTGAAATTTGCGCGTTATTTCACAGAAATGCGCAAAAATGCAGAATTTGCGCCGGAACAAAAAATGTTCATGAATGAATTTTAGCAAAACGTTTTTTCTATTTTACTAAAAACAATACATCCAGCAAGGTATCAAAATTTATCAAATAAGGAAAATACTTAAAAATAAAACTTACTTGACTATGCGATCTAGGTAGTATAATGCTGTACACACATTTTTTCATAATGATTGAGGATTTCTTATCTTAATATCCGTTTTTTGACAAAGTATAATTCCTTTATTGATTTTTCGAAATTTTTAGTGGGTTTTCTTTTATATTATGAATTGAAAAGACTTTTTTGCTTTGGATTACAATTGAGAAAATAAAAAATAAAAATGGAAACTGTGTAAAAGGACAGAGAACTGAACAAACTGAGAAATTAAAACTTATTCTGAAAACCGGACACGGACCAAAAATATGCGGAAACGGACCAAAAAAAAGGGGAAACCGATCCACAAACTGAGAATTTATAACTTTTTCTCAAAACCGGAAACGGAATATTCGGAAACGGATCAAAAAAAAGGAAGCAGATCAAAATACTAAGATTTTAAACGTTTTTCTTGAAACCGGAAACCAATAAAAAAAGGGAAACAAATCAACTGTAAACATTAACGAAACGGGTCGAAAATAATTGGATATCCCTCATCACTTTTAAGTTTTTGAGGGATTTCCGATTATTCTTGGAAAATTACAAACTCACCTCAATTTTTCATCATAAAATGCAATTGCTTTAGTACTTTTGCTCTATCAACTCATATATCTGAAATAAAAAAAAGATTAATAATCATTAGGTTTGCTGTTGCTTCGTTTTTCAGACATCAATTTTTTTAAATGTACATGACCTCGAATTCAACTGTTTCATATATGAGATGCATGTGCAAACAAGGAGAAGAGAGTCCTAAAATTATACGTTAGAAAACTATACCGGTCCATCTTTCTCCCTACAGGTCAACGACCTCCATTATGACTTCCATCAACTTTAAAAAATTGGGAAAATACCAATTGGTTCACACCAACTCATTCATTTCAGCATAACCAAACAATTTTTAATACTTTAAACAAACAAATAAAAAATATGCCAAAATAAACCCAAATATCCGACCTCCAAGTTGACCTCTTCTCCATTATGCTCTCGAATATGTCACAATCTGTTAAGACTAAGTATAATGTCATGTTTAGTGTTCGATTTGATTTTATTTAAAGGATCCTATTTTGTAAAAGAATGTTATTACACCCTAGCAGTAGTTGACCTTCAACTATTCATGACCTCCTCTGAAGGTCAAAATTTATGGTTACTGAAAATGGGTAGAGTTAGGTATCAAATCATATTTTTATTGATGTTCTAATTTCATTCAAATGGACCCTTCTGACGTGAAATGATTGTTTAGGTCGTTGAATATGTGAAAAATTTTATATTGTGATTGGAAAAAATTATTGGAGACCGTTTAAGTTTGCCGTGTGCGGAAATATGCCTTAAAATCATGGAACTATTCCTTGAAAGTTTTTCTGGATGCTCAGTATTTGATATAAATCTTCCTGTTATTATCTTTTCTGGTCGAAAGATTTTGAAAACAGAGCAACCGAAAATCAAAATATCAAGAATTTCATGCATCATCTATTTTCTTTACTCATATCCTGAATTTTTTATCCTTTTAAACTTATTTTTCGACTTAGAGAATTTTGTTTTTGTCTAGATACTTACCTTATCCTTAGAAATCGTGTCGACATTTTGATATCAAGTTAGTCAATGACATATGTAAGTTTTCATTTTTCGACATAGAGACTAAATTTTTCCAGTTTTGATGAAAATTAAGATTTATTCGTCGATTTAGACGATGGACGAACATGAATTTTCAAAAGGACGGCACAGTTATCTTAGGTTAAGGAAATAAGCTAGACAATAATAAATGCGAATAAATGACAATTTTCAAACGAATTCGTCGATTTTAACGATGTAAGAATTTGAATTAGTATTTATTTAGTATTATTTTGGGTTAGGTTAGGATAAGACACTTTCTGGGCCGAGCGCTGCGGCTAGGACAGGCTAGGGGCCGAGCGCTGCGGCCACATGGCCAATTTTATCCGTCTAACATATAAAATCTATGTACAAATTTGATATGAGGGGGGGGGGGTCCAAAAATCGTTCTCTACTTCTGACATTGCCTCTCAAGATATTAGTAACATCAAATGCACCTTGTATTAAGATTTCCATGAAGTGGTCTGCAATTTTTGTAACTTAAGAATTGAATTGAGAATTGAGATATTGAAATTTGAATAAAATTTAAATTATTAAATACTTCCAAGGTTGTTTAAATCTTATAGTGTCTCCGACAGTTTCGTTGATACAAAGAAGGAGGCTAAATTTTACCAAATTTAAAAGATTTATAATTTCGTTTTCGATGCTTCATAGACGAATATTAAAATTAAAAATTAAATTGTAAGCCCTTTACACGGTGAACAGGGTTGCTTTCAAATTGAAAACATCGATTGATAACCCTATAATTGTAAGCGCTCTTCAAACAGGCGCCTTAAATAGTAAATTTAAGATTTCAAAATTTCCAAACAAAAATCAGACAATTGTTGCACATGATCTATGCCGCGTAGATTTAAGAAACTAGATATTCTAAACTACCGAGGTTGCGTGATTGATGTTTTTTCACTGCTATTAGACAAGGATTTTCATAAATATTTGCCCTTCTTAAATTAGAGCCGTTTACAAATCACTAGTGTATCCTTCGACCTACGCAAATCCGCTATACTCCACTTCTGACCTACGCCAAATCCGCTATACTACACATCCGACAGCTACTAAAACGTGATTTTAAAGCTGCTAGATTGACTTGTGGCCGCAGCTTTAACGGTCTAAATAATCTGAAAAAAATGGAACCAAGGTTACATGTTTTTTTTTCTCCTCAGCTCCATGGTGGGAGGTTGCGTGATGAATATTTTTTACTCCGGTCTTCTCCTCGAGTCCGATCGTCTATACGCAATTCATCACCCCCTACTGAACTTCTGACCTACTAACTTTCCGACCTACTGCAATATCGGAACTACGCCAGCTGTTTGTTTTTGTATTATATTTTAGGGTTATAAGGTTATTGTTAAGACCATTTCCGCGGGCCGAGCGCTGCGGCTAGGACAGCTGCAAGAGGACCGGGCGCTGCGGCCACAAGTCCATTTATCCGCTGTGAAACCGCGTGCTAGTAGGTTCGATACGGAGTGTAGCGGATTTGGCGTAGGAGAAGTGGAGTATAGCGGATTTGCGTAGGTCGAAAAATACACCACCTCCGATAGACCGCCCAGCGGGTGGATTCTCATTTGAACTACTGCCGTTTGAACTATGGTACGTTTGAACTATTGTTCGTTTGAACTACTGACATGACGTCATATCCTGTAGTTTAAATCAACGCATTTCTTGGTCATTTGAACTATTTTTCTACCCCAATTCAGTTTTAACATTTTTTTTATAATCTTCATAGTTATATTCATGACAATTAATTAGATAAACATTACACAGAATGAACATAAAAATAGTTCAAATGAACAGAAAAATAGTTCAAATGAAATAGTTCAAATGAACATAAAAATAGTTCAAATGAGCATGAAAATAGTTCAAATGAAATAGTTCAAATGGAAAAAAATAGATCAAATGAAAAAAAAAATAGTTTAAATGGACTAAAAAATAGTTCAAATGGACAAAAAATAGGTTAGGTTAGGTTAGGTTAGGTTAGATAAAAAATAGTTCAAATTAAACTATTTTTTGTTCATTTGAACTATTTTTTTGTTCATTTGAACTATTTTTTTGTCCATTTAAACTATGTTTTTGTTCATTTTAGCTATTTTTTTTTGCCCAATTGAACTATTTTAATGTTCATTTGAACTATTTTTTTTTCATTTGAACTATTTTTATGTTCATTTGAACTATTTTTTGTTTATTTCATTAATAATATTTTAATAGTTCAAAAAAACTAAAAAATAGTTCAAATGAGCAATATATTTACTCGTTTGAACTATTGTTCATTTAAACTATCTCACGTGGTCCCACGTGCAGTAGTTGAAATGAACAATAGTTCAAATGAACAATAGTTCAAACGGCAGTAGTCCAAATGAGATAGCACCTTTTGCTTCATTATCTTTTACTTTGAAATCAATTTTAATATAGCATGACTCCCATATAATACTTTTATTGATCTTTGGTATCAAACAACTTAACAAATTATGGAAAGACAATCTAAACTTTAATTCACCAATTCTGTCATGTTTCGTGGGACACCCTGTATCTTTCAGCATTAAACAAGAAGACAAGGAGAAAGTAGAATACGGATTCTTATGTGCAGATAGAAGGTAGAAGACGGGTCCTTTATAGCAGGGAGAAGGTAAAAGACGGGTTCTTTTGCAGGGCGAAGGTGGAAGACGGATTCTTTAGCAGGGAGAAGGTAGAAGCTACGGCCGTTCTTTTATATGGCGAAGGTGAAAGATGGGTTCTTAAAATTCACTGTATGACTATTCCAATGTTAAATAAAGTCTCCTGAGCTGGATATCGAGATCAATGCTTCATCCTCTCTCTTTCTTAATCTCGAGATTACAATGCTTGTTCTCCTCTTGTTATTAATCTCCAGATTAATACCGTTTGGGATTAAGGAGATTCCATTCTAAAGTTTTCAGCTCTGTCTTTAGTCTTTTTTGGCATAATTAATGACGTGCGAAAGAAATAAGTTTACATTTGCGTGGAATCCTAAATAAGGAGTCTGACAGTATAAATTCCGTATACAGTCGTCTCTGAAGTATCATTCTTTGTGAGTAACCCTGTGTATAATAAACGAATTATGCTTTATTTTTCATTTTATTTATTTTTTTTCGTTTTATTTATTTTTAAATTCTATTTTTAAGATTTATCAATTTTTTCTTTTCTTTTTTGGTACTTCCCTCCCCCCATTTACATTTTTCTGCTTCCTATCATTTTTGTTTCACTGAAAAATAAGTACGCTGAAATGTTTATTTTATGCATCATAAGTTGAAAAGTACATTATATCAATTACATAAATCTAATATTTTGAAGTTTAACATTTTAGTCTTGTTGCTTCTACCATAATGAAAGTGGAAACACAAACTTAAATTGTCTATATATCAATTATGTAATATCGATAGGTTTAGATAAAAAAGTTTTAAGATGTTTTAAAATATAGTGTAAAAATGTAGAAAAATTTGATTGTTTTGTTTCATAATATTGTAAAATTTAGCAAAAGTTTTAACTGCACAGGCAAGAACATATTTTAAACAAAAAGACTTGCAGATTCTGTTAAAAATTAACATTAATAACACCATCAATGCCAAAGAAATGTTTTTCGTAATATCTCAGAACCAAAAGAAATTTTAACTTTATGTATTTTTTTTTTAGAATAAGAGAACCGAACGTTAGAAATATCTCACAAACAGCTTGACGTAACTGTGTTTAAAAAAGTTGAATAGAGAACTAACTTAAAGTTTATTAATGTTCTTATTTTCCAAATAAATGTTTTAAATTTCGTATTGATTTTAATTATTCGATATTTGTTGGATGTGGTGGGAAGGATATAGGTAAAACTAGAATTATTTTTCTCACTGGGGTATGTATGCATAATTTGCTTTAAGAAAAGATAATATTTACTGCTTTTAATACATTAAACGAAGACAAAGCAAATATCGTATTTGAGATCAGTAGAAATCGTCGAACAAAATAGCAACAATGAGCAGAAATAAATATCGTTGATTAAAGAAGAAAGTAATAATTAAACATTGATTAGAAAACTGTTAAAGATCACGGACAGAGAATTTGTTTTCTTGATCAACTACAATGATGATTTATCGATGATCTGTGAGGATCTCTTCTTGATCAACTACAATGATTTGTCGTTGATCTGTGAAGAATCTCTTCTTGATCACTAACAATTATTTATCGTTGATCTTGGATCCTCCTCGATCAACTACAATGATTTATCGTTGATCTGTTTAGGATCTCTTCTTGATCAATTACAATGATTTATAGTTGATTTGTTTAGGATCCTTCTTGATCAACTACAATGATTTATCGTTGATCTGTATTGGATCCCCCCTGGCTCTACGTGTAAGAAAGAAATGAAGTATCCCCGACTGTGCCATGACATCAACTGTACTCGTTGCAAGGAGATCTCCGCCCTTCTTATCCCGCTCCTTAACAATTACTTTTATTAATTTGGATAAAACTTAAAGATTCTAAAGTTTTCGTGCATTTGATCAAATTTTGTGTAAATAGAAAAACAAAAGCATCAAAATTGTGTACTAAAATGTCAACGTTGACTGATGATTTTTAGTCGTTTTATTTGTTTAAGAATTAGAATTTTGTACTTCGTAATGAAATAAACCAATTATCTTGAATACAATGTTGAATTTAGGTTAAACTTTCTCTCTCCATTTATTAACTCCATTCATAGAGTATGTCCGATTCACAACAGTACCCTTTTATCTTTGTCTGATCAAGGATGGAAGAGAAATCCTTAAAAAAATGATTATTTCCAATTGAGGTTTTTCTAAAAAGCAACAATATCTTCAACATCATTGATGAGCTAAATGTTTAAAGGAAACCCTAGTGAATTCTACATGACCCTCAGCAGGATCACTTGAAATTATACGACTGGCTCTTTAAGTACGATAAAAAGTAATGAAAATGATGATTACCAATCCCGCGTGCAGCATTGTTGGTCCAAATACAGTCGCCATGTTGTGAAGAGACATTTTATTTTGATATTCCATCTGGGATACTCTAAACCAGGGAGTAAATTAAGTCATTGATTTTAAACATTTTCTAGAAGAGTGAGAAGGGGAGGAATTCGTTAAAAGTTTTAACTGCTCGCTTTTTATTTAAAAAAGTTTATATGAAGAAAACTATTTACCTGACTAGATGCTCTATAAGAAAGACGATACAAGCCTACATCAAAAATAAAATATATTTTTATAAATTCATCATCACCTTTTTTCGAAATTAAATTAGAAATAAACATTAAAGTTTCATCATCTAAAAAATCCATGTTCTCAACTTTATAATAAAGAGATAAAAATGACCTGGTTTGGATTTTGTGGCAGCAAACTGAAAAGTTGAAGATAGGCCTTCGTTCTTCGTTCTTCATCAGGTATACTGTAGGCCTAGAAATCAATCAATCGATCAATCAGACTTTTAGGGTCGACCTAACTATCCATCAATTAAATACTTATAGATTCGGTATACTGTATATCAAGCAATCAATATACTCAATCAAGTAAACAAATTTCTACAATCTACATTCGGTAAACTCTAGGTCAAGGAATCAATTAATAAATCAATTAAATACTTATATATTCGGTAAGCTGTAGATCAAGCAATCAATTACTCAATCTTACATCCAAAATATTGTAGGATAACAGTTCAGCAATCAATTAATCCACTTTTCATTTTTCTCAAGCATAATATCATATGGATAGCATGATAAATGATTTTACCTGGAAAAGTTTGAGATAAACCTCGGATGAGAATATGCATTCTGGTAGATCTCGTAGATACTGCTTACATATACCAGCCACAGAGTGTATGTCACATTCCTATACGTTTAGAATATATAAAGTAGTAATCTTTGCATGTTTGTTTAGAAGTCTGATCATACCTCAGGGACCCCGATTTGCCTCAAATTTTGATTTAGAAACTCGGTAGAACCATGGGCATGGCTTAAACGTTGGTTATTCTAGCTTAATTTTGTTTTATATTCTAACAAACTACACAAAAACAATCTTTCTGTCTAACAATCATTGATTTTCTATGAAAAGTTGATTTGTTGTTTAAGCATCTGATCCTTCAGGAGGGGGCAACGCGCTCCCCCCCCCCTCAGTTAAAGGCCCTGGGAATCTATATGAAGACGAATTCCACTGTAATTAATCTCTATTTGTTGCTTACCTTTAAGAGTTGTTCTGCCTCATATGGATTAGATTCGTAGGCCTTCCTTAGCTTAACCATGTCCGCTGAACTGCCACTCACACGATATATACCAACCTTAATTATGGGATTTTGAATTTTTCTGTTTCTAACAAACAATGTAGATATAAATAGAATGGTTATTCCAAGGTTATAATGCAAAGATCCTTTTATTTCAGAGGTGTACGCATCTTTGTACTGCAGTGATACTGTCTCTGGGCGGTACTGTAGACACAAGACGGATGTCACAGCCTGACATCTCCATCTTTCACATAAAAAATCAATGAAATATTCAGGTTAAAAGAAACTATTATGTGAATTATCAAAATTATAATGCTTTTAACCTCCTCGGATGCTACACTGATGCATCTATTCTTGTTTACAAATTCCGCCCAGAGAGAATTTGTTTTAATATGTAAGCAGAGTATACGCAACTGCAATTAAATTTCCTTGCATTATAACCTTGGGTTATTCAAGATATCAAGATAATGTACAGTGGTAGCCCGATTTTATCAATACAATGGAGTAGAATTTTTTATTTCAATTTTGATTGCAAACCAGATTTTTTTTCGAACTACAAGTTTACAAGTATTAAGTAATCAAAAGAAGCTTCCTTAAAAAGATAGCTTCTCTTGACTTCTATGTTTATGTGGATCCATGCTGTTAAACAGCTTGATATAAATCAAAATAGAAATCAAAAGTCGTCTTCATTGTATTAATATATGAGACGACTACTATAAAATGGGGGTGGGGGGGGTGGGGTAGAAAACAACATTAGGAAAAAAAGTTCAAAGTTTTAAGTGTACTCAGTTCTATATAAAATAAAATTTTGAAATTGTGAAATTGATCCCTTTAAGTCCTTCTTTGAAACATGGTTGAAATTTCGTGATAAATCCCTTTAAACTAAATGTTATGTGAGTTATGTACAGTATACAGTACACACCTCTGATATTCCTCTTCTCTCAACCTCTCTAACACAGGAGGTTATAATAAATGGGACTGCTCTCTTCTCCTTCCTATGTTATTTTAAGGATTATAGTTACTTTCTTCATTAATATTGATATTATTATTTTTATTATTATTATTAATTATAACTGTTAATATTATCATTACCATTATCATTGTTATTATTGTAATCACACATGGAACATTTAAATCAACTGTATTTCCGATGTTTGCAAGACATTGTTAATATTGTTATTATTGTTATTATTATTGTTATAGTATTATCAGTATCTATATCATTATCATTATCAACATCAACATCAACATCAATAGCATTATCAATATCATTGAATTACCATCTTTACTGTTCATGTTATTGTTGTCATAATTTTCATTATGATATCTTAAGTTAGTTACTATTTCAGTGGTATTTTTATATTCCTGTTTTCAAATATTATTTTTAAATATTATTTTTAAAATACTTATTTTTAAAATACAAATTTTTTAAATATAATTTTTTTAAACATGAATAAGCCCACCTTGTAGTTTGATGAATTGGAGTTTTGAAGAGTCCTGCTGGTTTAGATTGAGGAACTCGACGAACTGTTTCCTCAAATCCAACAAACTTGATTTCACAGGTCAGTATTACATCTCCTAAATCAAATAGCAGTTGAATATTCTAATTTCAAGAAATTTCAAATGTTGAGACTTTAGTGTCCGGTGTTGTCCAGGTTACCCATAGTTACCCCGCTTGGTCTTAAATTATTATCATTGATAAAGTGCTATGTCACCCCCGGGGTTCCCTAAAAAATCAGCTAAGTTGGCTCAGCCGTTTGGCGAACATATAATTGAGCGATGCACATTATATATATAAGATGTTATCTTTGTAAAAAAATTTTCTCTTTTTCAAACATTTCTTTAAATACTTTAAAATTTTTTTATTTGTAAAAACATAGATAATGGGAACTAATTACTTGCCTACAACTTTTACTTTCTATTCCCTTTATATTTACAAGCCATATTTTTAAAGGGCATTTTTTTACAAGTCATATTTTTACAAGCCATATTTTTACAAGCAATATTTTCACAAGCAATATTTTCACAAGCCATATTTTTACAAGTCATATTTTCACAAGCCATATTTTTACAAGCCATACTTTTACAAGCCAAATTTTCACAAGCCATATTTTTACAAGCAATATTTTAACAAGCAATATTTTTACAAGTCATATTTTTACAAGCCCTATTTTCACAAGCCATATTTTTACAAGTCATATTTTTACAAGCCAAATTTTCACAAGCCATATTTTTACAAGCAATATTTTAACAAGCCATATTTTTACAAGTCATATTTTTACAAGCAATATTTTCACAAGCCATATTATTACAAGCCATATTTTTATAAGCAATATTTTCACAAGCCATATTTTCACAAGCCATATATTTACAAGCAATATTTTCACAAGCCATATTAGTGTGATTCTTAACCTTTTGACCCTGCAGAATTCCTAGTTTGAAATATCAAAATATTAAAATCAGGTTAGCTATATGTATAAATTACAAGATAAAAAAAGTGCCATGCAGAAGTCAGCTGTTCTGCAAAGTCCAAACATAATTTTTCTTTACCTATACTTATTCTTTGCTCTGCATATTCAGTCTTTATCCAGTTTCTGCTTAGTTCCATACAAGCCCGTCCTCGCAGCACCACGCCCTCAGCTCCACCCTCCTATATAACCATACTTATATATTTTAACTCGTAGCCCCACGCCCTGAGCTCCACCCTCCTATATAACCATAATTGTTCTACTTTTTTTCATTACTCATTACATAACATATTTATCATTTCAGTTATTTCGTAATCATTGAATCCTTCAACATATAAATTATTAGGTTCTTGTATTTAAAAGTTCTTGTAAAACCGGAACTTTCCATGCATTGTCCAATGGGACATCAAAATATTTCATTTGTTTCTTAACTAACATTTTACTAAGATCAGAAAGAGTTACAGAACAATCATTTGCAATGGAAAATAAATTTCTGCCAAAAACTGTGTTCAGGTCATTTCTGCATATATTAGAAAGAAATCTAGTGAAAAGCTTAGAACTTGCTTCAATAGTCTCATAGAATGACACACATCTACTAGCTAACACATTAATTAATTGGTCTCAGTTAGAAATAACGTTAAAAATATTATATTTCATCAACAGGGTTACCCACAAGGTATGAGACTCTTACGACCTTTATTTTGTATTTGAATAAAACGATTTGAAAATTCAGTTTGGTGAATTTAAACTGCAGCAAACCAAACGATTTAGGACAGAAAGAAAAAATATGCAGCTGCATGAATTGATATGAATGAATTTCAAAACAAATTATCTAGATAATTATCACTACAATTAAGTTATTGTAATAAACTTTTTAACTTTTACAATAATTCTAAAATCAAAATCAATGAACATAAAATGTGTTTAATTCAATGTTGTAATTTAAATAAAATTCTTATTTTCTTCTTGATTTGCAATCTTTTATTCATGCTTTTAGATCAGAAGTAATAAAAGTTTTTTAAATTAACGAAAAGTTAGAAAAAACGACAAAGTAATATTGAATAAAGTCTTTGCCCCAAACTCATATTTTTTAATCTCCGAAACCTGATGATGTAAAGCTTTAACATTTCCAGACTTGAATTATTTGATCTAACAGAATTCACAATTTGAAAATATCTTAATTTTTACAAAATTGAGTTGAAAGTATACACGGATTAGGAAGTCAGTGTCAAAATTTAATGAATTTGAGCCGCGTCTTAAATCCGCCAAAAACCGGTTTCAATTAAGCGCCAGCTTACATTTTGAAACAATGCATACAATTTTAAGTGGAACCAACCATATTTGAGCCGCGGCTCAAATTTTTTAAATTCAGCCTCAGAGTTTGTGGCAAAAACTCAATCCCTTTGTGTTAATCTTCCCTTAATACAACGGATTTACCACCCTGTAAAATCGCAAAACCGCAGATACTACCGTTCCCAGGATATAAACCCTTCTCATTTTTATAACATTACACTTTCGTATCCCTCGTTCAGAATTATTCTCAACCAATAAAATATAGGTTTCAAATTTAGCGGAAGCCTGATCAAATATAAAACCATGGAATCTGATAGACTGATACACAGTTTTATTTATTTTGTAAATGACAACGATATTATTTTTTTTTACTTTACTTTGATACTTAGACTTAAATCTTTATCCGGCAAAAATCAAATTTCTGCAGGTCTGCATCATCAGGTTTCAAAGATTTCAGGTGACCCTCTATTAAGATGTCAGATTCACGACGAACCCCTTTAATCCCTATTGTGGAAGATATTGTAGTTTTTATACCTTGAAAAGTATATAATTATCCTAATTTGCTTCATTTTCTATGTTGTAATAAATCCGCTTTTATTGAAAAGCCGCAATTTAAAATAATCAATTAGTAGAATGAAGAAAATTGATAACTTCATAATTTATGTTCAGTATAAAGAGTACTGTTGTGTACCGGATATTCCTCATATAAGAAAGAGTCACTTGAAATTAAGTCTTTAAGGATTATAGATTTAGAGTTTGATAATGGTGATCTGTTCCTTTAAAATTAAGTTTTGTCAACTGTCTAACTTATAGACAAGAAGTCTAAGGTTCTTAGATCCCTCTACTGTTCTGTCTACTGTCTACTGTCTATTGTCCACATATCTACTGTCTACTGTCTACAGTCTACTGTCTACTGTCTACTGTCTACTGTCTACTGTCTACTGTCTACTGTCTACTGTCTACTGTCTACTGTCTACTGTCTACCTGATATACAAGAAGTCTAAGGTTCTCTGATCCCTCTAGTTCTACCGTAAACTCTTCATTCCAAACAGGTTCCAGGGTTCCAGTCATGGTTCGAGTCTTAACCTAAATATTAATTTGAATTTGAAATCAATGTTTTTTAAAAATCAAAGTTTGAGCTCTTGTCTTTATCTAAACATAAACATTTACATTTTTACTTTTCATTGTAATAAGTGTTTTTATGAATATATAAACTTTGAGTTGTAGTAATTAATTTGCGGTTATAACTTACATGCGCCTGGGAAGGGTTTGTGGGAATTAAAAATATAATGCCAAGAAAAAAATGTCGATTAAAAAAAAAATTGAAAAATCCACGAAAATTCTCAGTGTACACTATTAATAATGGTGGTTTGAAAACCAGTTTTAAGCTACATTGTTACGAGAAAAAGAGGCTAAAGCGCCCTCAAACTCTTGTTTGAAACAAAAGAAAAATTTGCAATTTTTTTTCTTTCTTTACTTCCACGTGCACCCTAACAATATTTTAAACCCACCTTTCTAAAATAATGTCCATATGAATCTATTTCTGCCACCACAAATAGATCTGCATGACGAGTTAACCCACTCAGCTGCTTTATATTTATATGAAGGTCACCTAAACATTATTGTACAAACTGTAAATGCCGTTAGATCAAAAAGTTTGAAATATCGAAGGTTACTACCATCAGGTTGTAAATATATAGGGATTAGAAAAGTAAAGCTATAGTGAGGATTGTTGATTAGAAAATATTTTAAGATTTTATTCTAGAATTGTCCATTGACCATTACCTATAAGCAGTGGTTCGTCTCTAGCAGATCTCATTAGAAAGCTGCCCATGTTCGTCTTTAAAAACTTTCTACAGGACGATATCCAGGTTTGCAGTTCAACCATGGATAGCGAGTGTGCCTAGAGATACAAACATAACATTTTTAAGTTAATTTTTATCGACTAAATAGAAATTTGATCAATAAAAGCATATAAAGATATGAAAAATGCAGTTTTAAATCGACTTTTGTGCTTTTTTATGTAATTGTATTTATTTGCATGCTTGTGCATGATAAAAACGAAAACTTTGAGTTTTCTGTAAAAGTATATTTAAACCTGTGAGGTGTTGGGAGGAAGGTTAGACTGAAGAGTTTTTAGAGTTTCCACCCATTGAGATCTCTCAAACTCGGAACTCAGGAAGAACGAGAAAGTTTTCCCGGATTTCGAGGAAACCTAGAAACATTTTATCTCGTGAGTCCTGGATTTTATGAACAACTGTAGAAACGAAGAGACTCTATAAACTTGAGAACATTTTTAATTTTTAAACCTAGAATAGCTCTATACAAAATGTTGCCTTTCTTTTCGTAAGATATCAAGAGGCCGAATTTAAAGAATTTGAGAACTTAAATATGGATGGTTCCACTTAGAGTTGTACTCAATTTTTCAAGATTTAAGCCGGCGCTTAATTGTAACTGGTTTTTGGGGGATGCGAGACGCGGCTTAAATTCATTAAATTCGGACAAAGGTTGACCATTAAATCTTGAATTGACACACGTTTTGATAATAATGTTTTTGTTTTGTTTAAGAACGTCATTAAAATTGTCGTCACTTAATTTTCAAGGTAATTCAAAAAGAAAAACTCTGGGAATACATCCTCCCACCGAGAGACTGAAATAAATTTGAAATAGTTACATGATATTTTCTCAAGATGGGATCCTAGATTTTAAAACCAAAACATTTTTAGATACATTTTAGATTTAGCTCAAACCTGGAAAAGAAGATGAGGAGAGGCTAGAACTAGTTGAGCTTCAAGTTCAGCCAATTGTTTTCTATGTTTGTCAGTACTCATCCTTCCTCCACCTCCTCTACCCTTCCCTCTCCACTCATCCTCTCTCTGAACCTGGAAACCATGAGATAAAGAGATATTCAAGGATTTTTCAATATTCAAGGATTTTTCAATATTCAAGGATTGTTGCTTTTGCCTTTCTGCAAAGTCTAATTTGGGTAAAAGTTTTATTTCTTTACGAGTTTGATTTACTTAATATGCAAAATTTAACATTTGCCGAGGAAATAGACGAAACAACTGGCGGATTTATGCAGCAGAGACGAGAGATAAACTGGAAATTAACAGAAATTAACATTTTAGGATAGAAAAATTTAGAAAAGAATATCTTCCTCAATATTTCACCGATCAAGGTTTAAAGTTGACCATTGTAAATCGTCCATATTCCTCTTTAATTGGGGTTTAAACAATCCCTAATATTAAGAGGCAAAGTAAGAATATCAAATTTTATCTTTTCTTTAGTCAAACATTAGTTGAGCTTTATTTATATATAAATATATATATATATATTAAATTATTTTTATATTATTATATATATAAGTTAGCTATAGCTGTCCAAACTGCTGGACCAAATTGGCTGGCATCTCTTGAGGGAACCCATGGGTAACATAGGCTAACCATTATTTTTCTTATTCAAAATTTGATTTTTTTAATTTAGTTTTTTTTAATTCGAAATTTTTTTTTCATTTGTTTTTTTAATTTCAAGAGCTACGCCGGGCACTTCAAGCCAGTAAAACATAATATGAATTAAAGTAAAAAAACTAAACCTGAACAATTTGATCCCTGAGGGCTGCAGCTCCTGTTTTTAATGCAACTATATTTGCAGGTTTTGTTTCTTTAGGCTCAGAACTTGGCTCCTCTACGATCAAGGCCTGAAATAAATAAAGTTGAATAATTTAGAATCTTGATTCATTTATGCAATTACTTCTACTCCAAACTAAACTAAGTATCCTGTATTCCCAAACTACATTCCAACCCACAACCTTCTTCCCATAACTGTATCTCCATTTTAATCCCTCACTCTTCCCATAATGTTGTCTCCATCTCGACCCTTTCCCTTCCCATAGCTTTATTTCCTTTCTAATCTCCCTTCGATCCCGTAACTATACCTTCATTCCAATCCTTCCTATAACTATGCCTTCATTCCAACCCTTCCCCTAATTATACCTTCATTCCAATCCTTCCTATAATTATACCTTCATTCCAACCCTTCCCATCAGTGCTTAGGAAGTTAGGATCCATTTAATTTTGATGCGGATCCGGATCCGGATCCTGGATCCGCTTTTTAAAAAGATGTATCCGGATCCAGGTCATTGATCAAGAAAAATTTTATTTTAGTTCAAATATCTTTTCATACCTAAAAAAAATGTTAAACATTTTAACATTTTTTTACATTATTTTTCTACTAGTTTGCACAAAATGATAATGATTTTTTTTACTTTATTGGATGAAAAAAAACAGGTCTAATTCATATTAGCTTTTAGTAGAAGGTGGGCGTTTGGAATATCTGCCTTCAGGCAACTCCTTAGGTCTGATTTGAATATCTTCAGGGCAGAGAACAGTCTCTTTATACTGGGAACACAAGATGTTCCTTAGCATCTTGCCATAAAGGAACATAAAGGAACAGTGATATCGATAAAATTTGAAATGCAATATCATTTATTGAATGGATACAATTTACAATTGTTCCCCCAAAAGCTTTAGTAATGATCAACAGTGAATGAGATATCCATGATTTTAACTTCAAAAATTAATAATTTTAAACTGGTTCGTTGACCAACACCCTCGGAACGACGTACAAAAATAAAATGCTTGTAAAAAGTAAATTTTGAAAAGAAAATACTGAGACCGAATTTAAAGAATTTGAGATGTGTTGCTGACCTACCTGCTACCGGTAACAAAGGAACTGAGGTTTTGTCACAAACTCAAATTGTCTAATCCCTATATCTTTACAATCTGATGATATACACCTTTTTTTATTTCAAACTTAGATTATTTGGTCGAACAGAATTCATATTTTGAAATATCAAAGGTCTACGACATTGGGTAGCAAAGATAAAGAGATTAGAAAAGTAGAGTTTGTGACAAAAACTCAGTTCCTTTGAACCACCAATATTCAATGTTAAAGATTAGGGAAGAATTTAAGTCGATTGTTCAAATTTGAACCGACGGTTTAGTCAGGTCTTGACCTGGCTAAAATTCTTCAAATTCTGTTTCTGAGTATCTAATCTAGGTATCTGGCCTAGATACCGATGGACCGACTCAGCTCATCAATTATGTATAACACAATGCGGCTTCTGCACTGTAAAACCTGGCAGAGTCAATTAAAGGAGAATTTACTCTATTTACCTTCATTTTCTCTGATAGTTCTCCTTTAACAAAAAAGGTTCTTACTCTTCTATTATAAAACAGTAACAGATTTTTCCATTTTATGAAGATTTCTGAATCTTTTTCAGTTTTTGTTTTGTTTAAGACGTTAACAAGCTTCAAATAGTATACCATATAACAAAGCATAAAAACAATGAAAACCATAAAATAGTGGTATTCCGTAAGCTTCCTTTATCTAATGATTAGTATATCGCTGAGAATTTACTAAGGAATTAAGTTTTTTCAATGTTTCTAATTTTCTAATTCCTAGATCTTTGCAATCCAGTGTCAAAGAATTTTTTATATTTCAAACTAGTCTTTTTAGATCAAATAGTTTGAAATATTCTGCAGGTAACAAAACCTATAGGTATTAGAAAATTTGAGTTTGTGGTAAAGACACTTTTAGAGAATATAAGTAGCAAACTACAATTCTAAAAGAAAAACATGACTACATTACATTTAAAATTCGGTGCCGGTGTACCCAAACCTCTGTAAAGTAAAAAGGTAGATGTTAGTTCCATGGTTCTCACAAAATATTTTTATTTTGGAGGTGAGGTGGGGTCTTCTACTGATATAGTTCTTCAATAGGACTTTAGATCTGTAAAAAGCTATCCTAACATTTATCTAGCCATTAATTCAAACAAAGACTATCTATCTATCTATCTATCTATCTATCTATCTATCTATCTATCTATTGCTTTCTAGGTCTAAAGGATGGGTTTTCTTTCTTTCCCGGAATTTGTTCGTCACATTTTATTTAAATCTAACACATGGAGATATAGGGATAGAAGGTATTATGGTGGATTGTCTTACATTTTCTTACAAATCATAGTTGAGAAGGTTATAAAGTTGTTACAAAGAAAATTTTGGGAGGGCTTGGATGATGTTACAAAGAATGTGGGGGGGGGAGAGTTTAGATTGAGTTACAAAGGAGATTTTAGGAGGGGATGAATGGAGCTGCAAAGTAAATGTTGGGAGGGGTTTTGAAGGATTTACAAGAGAGATGTTGGGAGGGTTGGATTGAGTTTCAAAGGAGATGCTAGGATGTTGGGAGGGGTTAAATGCAGTTACAAAGGAGATATCGGTAATTTGGAATATAAAGTTAAAAAATGTCATTGGGAGGGTTACTTACAAAGGATAGATTAAAACTGAGAGGAATTAGGGTGAACAAATACAGAATAAGTACAAGTTTAGAATAAGAAAATGTGCTCTAATTATAGATAGATAGATACAAGTTTAGAATAAGAAAATGGGCTCTAATTATAGATAGATAGATACAAGCTCAGAATAAGAAAATGGGCTTTAATTATAGATAGATAGAAGCTCAGAATAAGAAAATGGGCTCTAATTAAAGATAGAGATATAAAAAGAAAGAATGACAAAAGACATTATACGTTTATAGTATTGCATAATATTGTATCACCCCCAAATCCCACTCCTTCCCTAAACAAGTAAATTTTGAAAAATTTTGAGAAACCCCATTTTCTGCACACTTGAGGAAGCAACGCATAATTTCCCCCAATTTCCAGCAAAACATAATAATAATCCTTGAAACCCCCGCAGCAATTGTCTGGGTGAAATTGCGTAGTACGGATGTGTAAGAACGTGCGAAAATACGCAATATTTCAAATTAACGTCTATTTTGAGCGTGTCTCTATTCTTAAGACATTCCAAGATCACGATGTGTAAAATTATTCTCCTACGTGCAGATAATACAAAACATAGAAAATTCAAATATATTTGAGAGAATAAGGCATAGACTGATAAACATGAAACTTTTCAAACTGATAAACATAAAAAATGTTTTAAGTGCAAAATATTCGCAGATTCCTAGATATTGCTTGAGTTAAAAAACAACAACAATAATGATACAGTGATAACCAGAAAACTATGGAATAGGAGGGTGCCTTTTAGATTCAAGTTATGACTTCAGATATTCTAAAGAACATGTGACACAGCACTTGTGCAGTATAAACAGGCCCATTTCACTTAATAAGTGAATTAATAAGTTTCTATTGGCTTTTTAACAAATTTTATGTAGCGAAGATATAGGGATTAGAAATCAGATTTAGTGAAAAGAACTTAGTTTAATTCCTTTCAATCGTAAAAGTGCCATAAAGGATTTATAACTTCGTTTTTATCCACGAGGGATACAATTTAAGCCATTTTCTTGCTCTTCAATGTTTAAGAAATTTACTGAATCTTGCCATGTTTTTTACTAGCCTTGTACAAGAGGTTAAGAAAGATAGATTCTTGAGCTTACTTAGTCGTTTCACTAAAATATTTTATTAAAAAAATTGTCAAACGCAAAATAAATTATATGAAGTTGAGAGTTCAAAAAATCAAGTAAAATTATTTTCGACATTTGCTCAAAAAATAGGATAGTACCAAAAAAGTAAAAAAGTTTACTGAAGTTTTTTTGGGACACCCTCCGTACTAGTACTAGTAGCATACATAGGTAGGTGTATTATCTGAAAGTTTGTTTGATTGATTGATTGTCCGAACAAGAAATGAAATACATAGAACTATGAAGGATTGAGGAGCTCATTAACTCTTCTAATGAGAGAAAATATGGGTTCGTCTCAACCCATTGCTTGTCCGTGAACTAGATTATGTGTACGTTAGTACGCTGTGCAAGGGAAGATATAGAGGCATACAATGAAAGTCTTGATTTTATCGGTCGCCTTTAACAAGGAACGGTAGTTTTTCCATTAACGAATGGGATTTCCGAGGGAGCAAAAGGGTTTTTGCATAGAACACCCGATCTTTATTATTAATGATCGTTGCACGTTGACGACCAAAAACTTGCTCTAACAATATTACAGATATTATTTGTATTGCCTACAGGACCACTTTATATAAAGTACATTCTATAGCAAAGAAGCTGAATGGTATTGTTTTGAAAACAATAAAGAAATTTGAGCCCTAGTCGCTGTAAACATAAACAAAAAAGGTTATTTCGATCATACTAGAAAAAAACGCTACATAGAATAAATTTGTATAAGATAATTTTTATCTTTAATTTATTTCTAGTTGGTTAATTCGAAAAAAATATAAAAATATGTTAAGATATATATTATAAATTTATAAACTTGCAAATATAAAAACAATAAAGAAATTTGAGCCCTAGTCGCTGTAAACATAAACAAAAAAGGTTATTTCGATCATACTAGAAAAAAACGCTACATAGAATAAATTTGTATAAGATAATTTTTATCTTTAATTTATTTCTAGTTGGTTAATTCGACAAAAATATAAAAATATGTTAAGATATATATTATAAATTTATAAACTTGCAAATATAAAAATGATAGAGTAGCGTTTCTTTACTTGTAGCGTTTTATCTGGTAACATTTTATGAGGGAGCTTTTTATGAGGTAGCGTTTTTCTAGGTGGCAGGTACACCTTTATTTCAAGGGGTTAAAAATCGAATGTCGACCTTGAAGCTGAAAGAGTGGGGAGAGTTAAAGAACTTTTTTGGTCATACTAGAAAAACGAAATACTCATAAAACGCTACATAGATAAAACGTTATCTCATAAAATGCTACACTCACAAAACGCTACCAGATAAAACGCATAGTAAAGAAAAAATCGCTACTCTATCAAAATATCATAAAATTAGGGTTGAACTTTAGATTGGATAACAAATTGTATTCTATATATATTATTACTTAAATTTTCATAACTTGAATGTTAAAGAGGCTACAGAGCCGAGAATGGGCGAGGTGGGGGGGTTTGAAATGGTCAATTATAATATCGTGCTGTGTTACTTTAATGTGTATAGACAGTAGACACAGCTTTTGAGTTATAGAACGGCGGCGCGTGGAAAGCGAAGAATTTAATCTTCAACATCATTTTAGTACTCTAATATGTTATTTTGCAAATATCCAATATTTTTACTATTTTGCTATTACTGGAGCGTTTACATATATTAGGTAGTGTTTTAAAAGAGTTGAATATTACGTCCGGCAATGGTTTGGTGCTTTGATATTGAGATATTGATATTACTTATCTTTCTGAGCTGAAAACTTTAGAATGGGATATACTTAATCCCGATCTGTTAATTAATCTGGAGATTAATAACATGAGGAGAACAGGCATTATTTAATTTTGCGATTACGAAAAAGAGTGAATCAAGCATTAATCCCGATATCCACCATTCAAAAGTTCCCAGCTCTGATTTCATTTCTACAAAAGTATGAAAGAATAAAACCATGTTTTCCTCGAAAAGAGGGGAAATTCAACCCCCCTCTGGTCCATACGGTAGATGATTTAAAACATAGATGTATATGAAGAAGAAACATTTGAGAAATCCATGTGAACTAACAACTTTTTTTTCCTCTGTATGTAAATATATTTTCTCTCTATATGATATAAATGTATATATTTGCAAATTTGTAAAAATATTTTACACATAAGAAGTTAATTAAATTATTCTTAAATAGATTTCTTGTCTAAATTATAAATTTTGTAGTTCGACGATTATTTAATTAGATATTTTTTTTGCAGCTAGAAAATTAAGAACATTTTTATGAATAAATGTGTAAAATAAGACGTTTTTTATGTTAAACTTATAAATGTCGTTGGATATTTCGAAAATTTTTAATTTTGAACATATTCTGTATTAACTTATAGCCATGCAAATATAAATATGATAAGAGTAGCGTTTTATGAGTGTAGCGTTTTATGAGTGTAGGGTTTTTCGAGGAGCACCTTTTTTTGGGTGGAGGGGGAGGGGGCAAAAAAGGTTCAGTCACTTCCTTTAAGCTTTTGTACTAACCTCTGAAAGTGGAATATACCACTTGAGTTGAAAAGTAAATTTTTCTCCTTTGTTTCCTGTCTTGTACTTTGCACACACAAGAACATCATTAAAAAGGAACAAATGACGTAGTTTCCTGGATCCCTCTAAAAAAAATTAAGATAAATAGGATAAAAAAACAACACTTTAATGAAAAATAAAAACAAAAGTAAAATAAGATTAAAACCAGAACAAATAAATTAGGATAAAAAAGAATTAACCAAACAAATAGATAAAGGAGGTAAAAAATAAACCAAAAATTTAAGAATGCAATGTAAAGTACTGATATACTGTACTGTATTGTTCTGTACTGTACACTATAGTGTACTATACTGGAGCTGAGTGGAGTGCAGTGTTCTGTAGTTTACTGTACTGCACTGCACTGCACTGCAGTGTAGTGTAGTGTAGTGTAGTGTAGTGTAGTGTAGTGTAGTGTAGTGTAGTGTAGTGTAGTGTAGTGTAGTGTAGTGTAGTGTAGTGTAGTGTAGTGTAGTGCAGTGTAATGTAATGAACAGTACATTGATGCTGTGTTTTGTACTGTACTGTACTGTACTGTTCCGTACTTTCCTCTACTGTACTATACTGTACTGTTCAATACTGTACACTGTAGTGTACTGTACAGCGTACTATAGTGTACTGTGGTGTACTGTACTGTACTCTACCGTACTGTACTGTACTCTACCTGCAAGTTCCACTATGAATGAATTCTTGACAAGATGTCTGCTTGAGCGCTCCTGGTGAGGATACAATTCTCCCCTACAAACAGAATTTGAAATAATATTAAACTTAAAATGTCTTACCCCACCTCCAAAAATAAAAACATTATTTGAATTTTTATCATTAAAAAACCTTTTGAAAAGCCTGTATTTCAAAGGTTCTTTTATAATTAATTAAGTGGTTCAGGACTTCTATATAAGTTTAAAAATTAGAATAGTTCTTCTACTCCGTTACCTGTGTTCTATGTTGTATTCATTAAGGAAGGATTGAATTAATTGAAGAGATTCTGTTAGAGTTGTAAAATCACTACTTTGTGAAGGAATATGCTTTAATAAATCCTAAAACAAAAATAAACTAATAAAGGGACTGTTTTAGATTTTAAAGATGGGGATTTTTATCACTGCAGATTCACAAAAGTACCTTTTAAGCCTTAATCTGGGTAACAATTATAAAGAAATTTACTTTAAAAGAGAAAAACAATGATATCTCTACCATTTCTGCTCTGACATTTAATTATATGGTACTGTTATTAATATGTAATTCTTTAAATGAAGGGGTGCTTTTCAAAACATAAACGGCCCCTTTTTACTCTACGACTAATTATATATAGAGCTTTAAATAACAATTAATAAAAAATAAAATTATCAAACATCATTCTGGAGTTACATTGATCCATCCAAGAGAAAAAAAACTATAATTTACAAAATAATAATTTAGTTTAAAATCTGAACCTGTAAAGACATGCAGTTCTTCTGAACCCTAGCAACCGGTTTATGCAGTAAATCCTCTAAAGACACACTCTGCCCCTGCTGCTGACCTGCTTACAATGTACGCTCACAACTCAATTCAATAAAAAATGTAGAACTGAACATTTTTCATGAAAAGATAATACATGCTTCACATAAAGGAATTGATTTTTTGCCATAAACACAAATTTTCTAATTATTAAATCTTAGCTCACTATTGGTGAAAATCTTAAATATTTCAAACTTAAGATTATTTAATTTAACATAATTAGTAGTTTGAGATATCAAAGATGTACGACATTGGGTTGCAAAGTTATAAGGATTAGAAATTCAAAGGTTCTGGCAAAGACTCAATTCCTTTCACTAGAATGGGTTCATTCATTTGGCATACCGTTCTGTTTTGCCTCATAAAGTCTGTTTCTGTACTGTATGAACTGGAATTTACCATGGCTTATTCAGATCAACTCTTTTTCCTTAGGATTGGAAACTATGTGGATTCCAAAAACTAAAAAGTGAACAGTCCCTTTAAATGAAACGTTGAGTTTAACCTATTTATAGATAAAGTGAACAGTCCCTTCAGGTTTTCATGAAACCTTGATTTTTAACTTATTTATAGATAAAGTGAACAGTCCCTTCAGGGTTTACATGAACCTTGAGTTTAACCTATTTATAGATAAAGTGAACAGTCCCTTTAGGGTTTACATGAAACCTTGAGTTTAACCTATTTATAGATAAAGGAAATCTAAAACACTTGATAGGAAATGAAACAATGATTGCAAACGATGGAAGGAAAAACATCCTTATTCATTTCCTCCTTCCCCCCTTCACCTTTTCTGCTATGATCGAATTTTCAAACATTTGCCTCTAACAAAATTTAATTTTTGAAATTTTTTTTTTTTATAAAATTCATGAAATTTTTTGTTTGTTTTTGTTTTAATATGTATACAAAGAGAAAATGTTCACAATTGAAATAGAAGATGGGCGCGAGGCGCCCAAAAGCTTAGTATAAATTTATAGATCAGTTGAAATATATATTATATATAACATTAACAGTGAGACCAATACAACTGTGCAATGCAACAGCTCTATCAGATCAGAACAGATAAATCACCGAGATCTTCGCACGCACGCAAAAATCGCGAAAATTTAAATAATTACTTCTTTTAGCTACTGCTTTATGGTTCTGTGTAGCATACATGCCTAGAGCTACAAAAAAGTATCAATGAGTTAGTAAATTAATCCATGAAAGCCAAGCTGACCCAGTTGTGAAAATTAATGCAACATTTCATAGTAGTCTGGATCTATGTGAGAAAATAGATGGATATGTATATAATGAAAGTTAAGATGGATGGTAATGAGGTATAAAAGTGAGAAGAGGTAAAGACTGGTGTATGGATGCCAAAATGAATTTTAAAAGACCATTGAGACCCAGAGAGGTTGATTTATGTGATAGATGTTGAAGGAGAGATAAAAGATAGATAGATAAAGATAGGTAGATGGGTAGACATGAGGATAGATTGATATGTATGAAGAGTATAAAAATCAAGGATAGATAGATAGATAGATAGAAAGATAACCTAGATTGATATTTAAGACAAATAGGCAGATAGAAAGGTAGATAGATAGATAGATAGATAGAATGGGCATATTCAATATATTTTAATACAAATTTTGGTTGAAAATTTAACTGTAAGAAAGCGATATAAAAATGCATGCAGAATTTCAAAGAAAAACTGCATCTTGAATCAATTCCACAGGTAACATAAAGAACATCGTCCTAATCAAGTCCGGGCTCTATATCCGGGCTGTCGTTTTTAAGTCATCAAACAACGCAAGATGGGTCCAAAATATTTTTCATTTTCAAAACTTGTGGTCAGACAAACAAGGTTGAACAGAATCACTCTTTGATTTATAGTGATCTCCAATTCAAAGATTGGTATACCCAATTAACAATGGTATCATCCAAAAATTAAAGGGACAGACCGGCTATGTAAGGTAGTTAAACTGAGTATGCAGTGTTGTGGACAAATTCTTTAGTATTAAAAGCCGGTCTGTCCCTTTAACAATCGGGAAAATATCTTCGTTTTTCAACCTAAAGATTTAAAATTTGTAAATGAATTTTTTAGGATGTTTTTATTGCTCAGACACAGGTTTAAACGGTACTGTTGAGAATCGGGCATTCTACGCACCTCTGTCCATAGAGCTAGGTACAGTACAAACTGAGACCGGAAAGGTTGACCCGGATCGGAAATTCAATTGTACTATGGCTGCCTGTGATTCCCTCTTAAATACCACTTCAACTATTTCAACAGTCCTTTTAAAGGTGTTATTTTGTTTGTTAATAATAATTGAATTTGTGAGGTTTCCTTTAAGAGTTCTGAGTTTGATGGATCCTGTCAGATCAGCGAACTGTTGATAGGTTTGAGAACATCTATGCAGGGTATCCAGGGCCTAATAAATTAATCAATTCATCAATTAATTAATTAATCATTTAATTAATCAATTCATAAAATGCATAATTAATGTATAATCAAGAAAAAAGATTTTTTTTAATTGAGCAGATTGATTCAGATAAGCAATATCAATGAATAGGAATACAGCCGCCCATTTCTCAATTAATTAGGGAAAATATTTCTGAAATTTTGATCATTGATTGAAAATTTGTCCTCTCATTTTGGACTAAAGTTGATTTAAAAGATGATGTAAACCTATCTGTTAAGATTTTTTGATCCAGTGGAATTCGTAGTTTAAAATATCTAAGGTCTACGACATTAGGTTGCAAAGATGTAAGGATTAAACATTTGGGTTGAGACGAGTCATACGTTTCAGTAGAAGTAAATATTTCCATTTATTGATAGCGCCGATTGAAGGATTCATAACTCTAATAATTGGATAATGAGATAGATAGAAAGATAGATGTTACCGCCATATTATTTCTATTGGTTCAGAATAGACAACAAACACATGACTGAACCCTGATTGCATCAGGCGCTAATGGACTCTGCATACAGAATTTTTTCCATAAACTCTGATTTTCTATATCTTTGTAACCAAATGTCTTACATATATCTTATATATAGAGGAGTCATCAAGTCGATTTATAACAAATGAATATACTCAATAAGCAACGACAGACAAAACACAAAAGATGATCATGAATGGACCGCGTTGCAAAGCCTGGCTGTTGCCTGCAGGCCGAAGAATGCATATTAATCAAAATATAAATAGATAGACAGGAACACAATGCAGTACTATTATACAGTTTTACAGTAGAAATACTAGAAGTATGAGGGGGGGGGGGCAAAAAAAGGTCTACAGAAAAAATGTGCCGCATATTTACTAAATTTACTTATTATGGACGAAAAGCAATTGTATACATAAATACAAATTTTATTTATTGAAAATGGGTGCTTAAATGGTAGAAAAGAAAATGTAAGTATTAACCTGAAAATTTATTTATTTATTTTAAATTTAGGATTAAATGTTTCTGTCTGTTTACCTTAGGATAGTTACTGATAAACTGGGCGTATATCCTGGTTTGTTGAGCCAACATTTTAAAATGATGACCAATCCTATCCACCCCATTCCATCGATCAATCTAATATATTCNTATAGTTTATAAATATTTTACCTAAAATAAAACACATTTAGAAACAATTGATCCTTAATTTATTTGGAGAAAAAAATATCGATTTTTTGACAAGAGCATTTCGGTGTAAAAATACCTTAGGGATTAGAGGAGTAGGAGTAGTCAAGGTTACTTTCATAGCTTTCATGTACTGCAAACACACACTGTCCATAATAAACTTGGTTCATCAACTTTATAACCATGGGGTGGGTGGGGGGTAGCTTGAAGAAATAATTAAAAGTGGGACATTGATTTGGATTTGGGGTTTCTGGAACATTCATATTTTTTACCAACAATTTTTTTCTAATATTATTGATGGATTATATTAGTTAGAATTAGTGTTTTGATACTGGGGATGATAATCTAATATGAAGATACAAATAAACAAATAAATAAATAAATTAATAAAGATGGAAAAGATTGAGAGAATATTTATTTATGTCCAAATCTAATTTCCTGAGGCACTCTAGATAGATAGCTTCCGAGTCCAGGATACTTGTCAGTATATGTGTCAGCATTTTCAATCTCTCCTGTCCAGTCTCAGGGCCCAGGCTACCTGGCCCAGAACCGGTTTTCTCCTCGGAACTGGTTCTGAAACCGGTTTGGACAGATTGACCGTCAAGGCTGGATTTGGAGTCAGACTTGGAGGATTTTAAACTTTGTAGTTCATCTTCACTCAGATCTTTCAAATAAATAGATGTATATTAATTTTTAAAGTTCATCGCGTCAAACTATATTTATTGCACTTATGACTGAAATCTTACATGTTTTGTATCATAACTCCTCCATCTGAAGAATTATTGATAAGAACAAAAATGTTTTGAATTTATGATAAAAAACAGGAAAAATTTTCAGTCTCATTCTTGTGCATAAAATTAAAACTAAACGAGCTACAAGGTCAGAATGTCGCAAAAATTTGTCACTCTCCTTCTGTCTAGTTTACAGTGTTATTATTTTAAAAAAAAATAATTTTACCTAGATCTCTTGAGTCCTGACGAAAGGCTCTAAACAAAAACAAAATATTTGTTAAAATTATTTGTTTCTAATAATAGATGGTTAGGACTTAAATTGAAGCTAGGTGAAGCTAAATTAATATTAACGGTTTAAAGGGCTTCTACGGGTAGAATACAGGAAGCCATTCTAGGGATTTTTTTTATTTTACATTTATTTATCTGCTTTTCAATGGCTATATGCTACACTTTCCTTTACTAAAACTCATAATTTTTAACTAAAAGAAAAAATGTTTTGAACTAAAGTTGATACCGCCACTGGATACTGGATATGCACAAAGGAATTGAGTCTTTGCGGCAAACTCTGAATTTATAATCCCTATATCTTAAAAACCCAATGTCGTACATCTTTGATATTTCAAACTTATATTATTTGATCTAACAGAATTCATAGTTTGAAATATCAAAGGTCTACGACATTGGAATCCAAAGATATAGGGTTTAGAAAAGCAGAGTTTGTGGCAAAGACTCAATTCCTTTAAAAGATTAATGGAAAGTGTACAGATTTTGTAGGATAAAAGGAAAGTATAGAGATTTTGTAGGATAAAAGGAAAATGTACAGATTTTGTAGGATAAAAGGAAAGTGTACAGATTTTGTAGGATAAAAGGAAAGTGTACAGATTTTGTAGGATAAAAGGAAAGTGTAGAGATTTTGTAGGATAAAAGGAAGGTGTACAGATTTTGTAGGATAAAAGGAAAGTGTACAGATTTTGTAGGATAAAAGGAAAGTGTACAAATTGTGTAGGATAAAGGAAAAGTGTACAGATTTTTTAGGATAAAAGGAAAGTGTACAGATTTTGTAGGATAAAGGGAAAGTGTACACATTTTGTAGGATAAAAGGAAAGTGTACACATTTTGTAGGATAATATAAAAAATAAAAAATAAAAAATAAAAAATAAAGATAAAAACGATTTCTATAATCTTAACAGATATAGAACTAATATTTTGGAGATATGTGCCTGACTACATTGTTTCTTGTGTATATATATATGCAGAACTTTAAAATATTTCTACAAGAAAGTAGACCCGTGGCAAATTTGAATTAGATTGATATAGCGTGCAAAAATAGACATTTGCAAAGATGCAACTTTGCATATATTATTTAAAATGTTTGCCTAACAACTAGTTACCCGAGTCAGAAGATAAAGATGCATACTCTAAGATAGTTAGAGGGCTAACAATATATACAGGGTTAGCCATAAAGCATGAGGCTATAGAGACGACCCTCTAGCTTAAAAATTAAAAGAAAATCTTAGTTACTAACCTGAACCTTTATCTTGAGGTTTTTCTCTTGATGAGTTCATATCTAAACATGTAAATATCTAGGTAAATATCTCTAGATGAGTATATATCTTAACATGTAAATATCTTGGTAAATATCTCCAAATGAGTTTATATATATCTAAACATGTAAATATCTTGGTAAATATCTCTAGATGAGTATATATATCTAAACATATGTAAATATATTGGTAAATATCTCTAGATGAGTATATATATCTAAACATGTAAATATATTGGTAAATATTTCTAGATGAGTATATATATCTAAACATGTAAATATATTGGTAAATATTAGCTAAACTAAACCAAACCAAGCTCCTCCAAACTTAACTGAACCAAACCAAGCTCCGCGGAGCTAAACTAAACCAAACCAAGCTCCGCCAAACTGAACTAAACCAAACCAAGCTCCGCGGAGCTAAACTAAACCAAACCAAGCTCCGCCAAGCTGAACTGAACCAAACCAAGCTCCGCGGAGCTAAACTAAACCAAACCAAGCTCCGCCAAACTGAACTAAACCAAACCAAGCCTAACTTTAGTAACTTTATCAAAACTTGTCAAAAGCTTAACTAAATCAACCAAGTCCCATTTGTCCAAAACAAATTCAGATTTAAAATTTTAAAATCTTAATATGGAACAAATTCGACATAATTTATTTCTGTCTTTATAATCTTGATTAGATTTGCAGAAAGGAATCAGATAAGTGAAACAATAGGTTGGTTTCACACCGCGCGGTAATAAAGCTAAAGGCTTACAGTTCAATTCTCAGTAGGAGGATATAACATAAATTTAGAAAAATACTTCTTATCTAAAACTTAAAAAGTACGTATTTGAGGCAAAAAACTACATTTAAAAAAGGTGTGATATGAAACAAATATACATTTACTGAACAAACTAGAAATATATGCACTTCATGTAAAGAAAATGATCATTCTCCTTAAACATTAATTTTAATCTATACATCTTTGCAAATGACGAGACCTTCTATTTAAAACTATGACATCTAATGGTTGCAAAGATATTTAGAAAATCAGAGTTTTAGACAAAGACTCAATTTCTCTCGACGTTCCAAAACTCCCAACCATCCCCCCAAGATATGGTTCTGAATAATAACCTGGTTTTGATGTTTGATAAAGCAGATGGTTGTCATATTCATCTTCAACCTCCTCATCCTCATCCTCAGCACACACTTGATCATACAGCGGCTCATTCACCTTCAAAACATTTTTCTTTATTAACAAAAAAAATTTTATTTCTAAATATGGTATTAAAGGGACAGTACAAGTATAAATTTCAAGTAACTCTACATTTCTAAATATGGTATTAAAGGGACAGTACAAGTATACATTTCAAGTAACTTCTAAATATGGTATTAAAGGGACAGTACACGTATAAATTTCAAGTAACTTTATATTTCTAAATATGGTATTAAAGGGACAGTACACGTATACATTTCAAGTAACTCTACATTTCTAAATATGATATTAAAGGGACAGTACAAGTATAAATTTCAAGTAACTCTACATTTCTAAATATGGTATTAAAGGGACAGTACAAGTATACATTTCAAGTAACTCTATATTTCTAGAGAAGCATGAACGATTAATAACGATACCTTTAACAGCTGATCAATGTTAAATTATATATCTATGTTATTCTCTTTAAAAATTTAGTCTTTTTAATTGTGGTTTAAATGTAAAAGTGAGTTTCTGCAGCCGATGAGGAACATAGGAATTTGTTAGAAAAGTCACTTCAAATAAGCACGACAATTCCTTTAACGAAGAAAATTCAAGAAAGTTGAAGAGATATTTTTTTTATATTTTCCATATGGAGAAAATTTTAAAAAGAAATTATTTTAAACTACTACTTCATTTTCAAAACCAATTTTTATTATTACTAGATTTTTTAAAAAAAAAAACAATTTTTTTTGTAAAAAATATTTTTTTGAAAAAGTTTATTTTTAAAAAAAGTGTTTTTTCCCCGTATTTTTTTATAGAAGTATAATTTTTACCTCCTTTTTCTCTCCTGTTCTTGGTTTTCTGGTGATTTTCCTAGGTTTAGGGAGAGGAGGAGCTCCTTGTCTGTTCTCTAAACTCAGGGTTCGGGTTTCAACATTACGTTCAAGGGTGGATGGTCGAGGGTCGGGTTTTAGTCTGGGTTCGGAGATTCTTTCTCGGAGAACTCTCTCTCCAGACGGTTTCCTGATAAAAAACAAAACGTCTGAATAAATCTACAAAAATTGTTGAAATGAAGTAAAAAAAACCCTAAAACTAAATAGCTATTGATCTTATAGCAAAGCAATTTCTTGCAACTGCTTTGCACTTTAAACTTTTCATGCTTTTGTTGTGAAACATTTGATTACATTCTTGTTTATTATTACATACACATTTCATCTTAAGTTAATTCTAGAATGCTTTTTGGCATGATGCCAGTAAGAAGCCAAAATATTTGATGCGCCAAGAAAGTACCCTGCCTCAAAAAACTTGTTAATTATAATTTAAAAAAGGAAATCATTATGGTTAAATCTTAGAATCCTGGACTCCTGGAGTGTGTAGTATAGAAGAAGAGCTGATTAAGCTTAGTACTCTACTGGGGACCTGGAGTGTGTATGTATAGAAGAAGAGCTAATTAAGCTTGGTACGATAAAGGGGACCTGGAGCTAAACCTTGCACCTGCTGAATATACACTCAGACATCTCAGTGACTAGATCAAACCAACAAACTTCATACTAGATGATTACACTGCAACCAGCAAAAGATATCAGAATTCTGGCAGCAACCCACACGTACAAAACATCAAAATTCAAAAAGACATAAACTCCTTATCACCTTTAACTATAATAAGCGCTTATATAGCAGCTAGCAAAGTGAATTATCTAATAATAATATTTTTTGGGGGGATTTAACATTGAATGATTGAGAGGAAAAACTAGATGCTGAAATGTCGGTTAGAATTATTCCTAGTAATCTTCTTGACATTTAGCATCAAGATTATAACAACTGCAATATTTCATCATGATCATGATATTATACCAGTGATAATTTAGTTCTCTTCGTGATTTCTTCTCAATGGTGCAGCGGGTCCCAAAAATCAATGGACAAATTTGATAATTGGAAGCTGGTGAACTAAGAATTTTGTCGATAAAAAGATCACACATCTTTTTAAGCTTTTGAAAAAAACGTTAAAATTTTTGCATTCATTATAAAACAAATAAAAATATAAAAATATTAAATGTAGGTTTTATTATTTTGAATATGGACCTTTCATTTCATAAATAAATGCCGCGCCGATGACGATTGCTTAAGATTCTCTGTAAGATGTGTAGAGAGAGTAATTAGATGAATACAAGGGTACTAGACCATACTAAACCAACTAGATTTTTCTTACGTTCATAAAAATGTTAAAATATCAACATTGAAGGTCTCTTCTAGAAAAACTAGATACGAAATATGAAAGAAGAAATAATGATTTATTCGTTCTTCTGTGTTCAATCTTTTAACTTTCTGAAAATTTACGTTGTCCATTTGATGTTTATCTTGATGTTCTCAAGAAGAGTCTGAAATGTTAGAATAAAATATTGCTCCACTCTGGAGGAGGATTCAACAAACAGTTAAAGAACCTTCTCCTTCTGTCCATTCTTGACAGATAAATCTTTGCAGAGAAATTTAATATCAGAGATGTACGTCTTGGTAAATATGTAAATTGTTTCATTTGGATTTATATATATTCTCTTGTTCTTGTCAATTCAATCCCAACTTCTAGAAAATCAGACATTCAAATCAAATGTATAGACGCATATATATATATATATATATATATACATACATATTTATACATGTTTCCCGATTGACAGAAAATATGTAAAATTAAATGGATTTTGAATATTTTGAAATATCAAATATTCCGCTTTGAATTTATTCAGGAGTTCAAGGAAGAAAGGTTTGAATATCAGAACTTCTAATTTTACATGGTGTCCCAGTTCAAACTAGAGGTAGGATGATGTCCCAGTTTAAACTAGAGGTAACATAGTGTCCCAGTTCAATCTAGAGGAAACATGGTGTCCCAGTTCAAACTAGAGGTAACATGGTGTCCCAGTTCAATCTAGAGGAAACATAGTGTCCCAGTTCAAACTAGAGGTAACATGGTGTCCCAGTTCAAACTAGAGGTAACATGGTGTCCCAGTTCAAACTAGAGGTAACATAGTGTCCCAGTACCAAACTAGAGGTAACATGGTGTCCCAGTTTAAATCAGAGGTAACATTGTGTCCCAGTTCAAACTAGAGGTAACATGGTGTCCCAGTTCAAACTAGAGGTAGCATGGTGTTCCAGTTCAAACTAGAGGTAACATGGTGTCCCAGTTTAAATCAGAGGTAACATGGTGTCCCAGTTTAAACTAGAGGTTACATAGTGTCCCAGTTCAAACTAGAGGTAACATAGTGTCCCAGTTCAAACTAGAGGTAACATGATGTCCCAGTTTAAATCAGAGGTAACATGGTGTCCCAGTTCAAACTAGAGGTAACATGGTGTCCCAGTTCAAACTAGAGGTAACATGGTGTCCCAGTTTAAATCAGAGGTAACATGGTGTCCCAGTTCAAACTAGAGGTAACATAGTGTCCCAGTTCAAATTAGAGGTAACATGGTGTCCCAGTTTAAATCAGAGGTAACATAGTGTCCCAGTTAAAGCTAGAGTTAACATAGTGTCCCAGTTAAAGCTAGAGTTTAATGAGTTTAAATTGTTTGTTCACAAATAGCAATAAAATTTTATCATTTATACTTTACTGCCCGAACTTTTCGGAAATAAATTATGAATCAGTGAAAGGGTTGCTTTGTATGAAGCAATGGGACAGAGAATGTTGAAAAGTATGACTCAATTTATAAAAATGAATGTATGAAATGAATGACTCAATAGAAAAATGTCTCCTGGTTAGCAATGGTTAATGATTTCAACAATAGATTAAACTGTCTTGATTTTATAAAAACTTGATGAGATAGGAAACAATAGAACCTCCTATACACTTAGACTACAAATACAGGATACTGTGACAGGACTACTATACATTTAGACTACAAATACAGGATACTGATTCAGTACTACTATACATTTAGACTACAAATACAGGATAATGTGAAGGACTACTATACATTGAGACTACAAATACAGGATACTGTGACAGGACTTCTATAAATGGAGACTACAAATACAGGATACTGTGACTAGACTACTATAAATTGAGACTACAAATACAGGATACTGTGACAGGACTTCTATAAATTGAGACTAGAAAAACAGGTTACTGTGACTGCACTAATATATACTGAGACTACAAATACAGGATACTGTGACAATACTACTATAAGTTAAGACTACAAATACAGGATACTGTGACAGGACTTCTATAAATTAAGACTACAAATACAGGATACTGTGACTGGACTACTATAAATTGAGACTACAAATACAGGATACTGTGACTGGACTACTATAAATTGAGACTACAAATGCAGGATACTGTGACAGGACTTCTATAAATTGAGACTACAAATACAGGATACTGAGTCAGGACTACTATAAGTTGAGACTACAAATACAGGATACTGTGACTGGACTACTATACATTGAGACTACAAATGCAGGATACTGTGACAGGACTTCTATATATTGAGACTACAAATACAGGATACTGTGACAGGACTTCTATAAATTGAGACTACTAATACAGGATACTGTGACAGGACTACTACAAATTGAGACCACAAATACAGGATACTTTGACAGGACTTCTATACATTGAGACTACAAATACAGGATACTGTGACTGGACTACCATAAATTGAGACTACAAATACAGGATACTGTGACAAGACTATACAATGACAAACAAAAATTGAGACTATAGTAATACACTATATGTATATGTAAGGATGACTGCATGACAAGTGGCCCTAAATTTGTGTCAAGTGGTGCGTCTAATTCCCAACAGTAACCCTTATTACCTTCATCTGAGGAACAATAAGGCATGATATCGATGTTTTTATCTTTGAAATGTTTAATTCTGACAATTTTCTTCATGGTCTCTGCTTCATTTATCCACAAGTCAAACGTAAAGATAATCAACAATTGAAATGGGTTAATTTTCAGTTTGTAAATCTCATTTATCAATGATCTAACACAGGTTTAAAAAGAACCGTCGTGGATCTGACATTTCACTCTTGAAAACACGTGTAAACTGTACAGTCTCTTTGACTAAACTTGTCGTTGAACTAGCTGTTAAACTTACCGAACTAACCGATCCAGTCTCGTCTCTCCAGATATTCGTCTTTTCTGTCCAGGACTCTCAACTGCATCAGTCGTCACATAAGTCGTCCCACCATTCGTAGAGTTCCTACCCTCCCTTGTAAGACTGTGTCCTGGGCTGATCAACTGCTGTCGCCTGCCCCAAGAATCGCTGTCACTGCTGTCATGGCTCTTCCCGCTAGGGCTGCCCATTCTACCCCGGCTGCTGTCAGAATCCTAGGGAACATAAAGCACTGAGATCTAGTCAACTCTGAGAGTTAACAATCAAACTTTAAAGTCTCAACTGTCAAGTGTCGCAACGCCTTGACTTTTTCTTATACAACACCATATGACAAATACTTTTTTCTTATACAACACCATATGACAAATACTTTTTCTTATACAACACCATATGACAAATACTTTTTTGTAATACTTGACATAAACGTTTAAAGAATGCATAGAGCTGGTTTCTAGCTAAAGTTTATTAGTTTTTTTGGTGATTTTAACGTGAGAGCTTGCACAATGCACATCTTGGTTTGCAGTGACAGGAAATAAACATGTGCCACAAACCCTAGTTTTCTAATCCTTATAACTTTCCAACCCGTGGTGTAGAAGACCTTTAATAGTTTACAAAATGAATTCTGCAAAATCTAACAGTCTATGTTTGAAAGGAATTGATGTTTTTCCACAGCAGCCCCTGATTTTTTAATCCCTATAGCTTAGCAAAGCAATGTCGTAGACCTTTGGTATTTCAAACTATGAATTCTGCTAGATAATATAATCTAATTTTAATCATCAGGCTGCAAAGATATAGAGATTATAACATTCAATTTTGTGGCAAAGACTCAACTCCTTTATAAATGAATTTCATCAGATGCTTGCAAAAATATAGGAATTGATTAAAATTTTTGCTGATTTGGAGTAAAATTTTGCTAAGTTAGAACGAAGGATTATTAAAAATTTACCTTTCTCGATTTATTTCCTCCTCTTCTTATTAAAGGTGGCGTTAGCTCCTCAGATCTAAGATTATTGATAATTATACAATGTAAACTTCTCGTCGTCCTGTAGTACTTCTTTTAATTTATAATTGGCAACTGAACTATGTCCGAATAGAGTTATTTCACTTGCCGCAATTGTAAATTACAAGATTTTCTTAAATAAAAGACAATATTAATTTTACAGTTTTCTGGCTTTCAGTTTATGAAAATAAGTGTGTATATCATTATTGTTTTAAGATGCAATGTTTATGATTAACATTATAAGTATCATAAACCAATTAATTTTGTTGGCAATGCTCATTAGTGCTATCATTAATGTTATCAAATGTTTTCTGAGACGTCTGGGTTGCTTCATAAAAGATATTGCGAGAACCTAACATAGATAACAACAGTTTCAATGATCAGACATAAGACGTTATTATGCATAGATAGGTTATTTCAGCAATAAGAAATTAAACAGTCACTTAAACTTTTAAAGATAAAACAAGTTTAATAATTATAAAAAAGTATTACAAATTGCAAAACAGCTTAAAAGTTTATATAAAACAAACAATCGTACCTTGAAGAATCATTTCTGGTTAGAAATTGATCTGATCCCCTTCTCTCTCCTGTTCCCACCTTCTCTCCTGATCCCCTTCTCTCTTCTGATCCCCTTCTCTCTCCTGATCCCCGCTTCTCTCCTGTGTCATTTGAAGGTATTTTTAATCTACTTATGGAACTTGTAGACTCACGTCGACTTTCACTTCCTGTAGGAACGGATTCTCTTTCTCCTTCATTTTGAGAATTTGTCTCATGCCGGGCATCTGTGAAGAATTGGTTAGATTCTCTTCGCATTTCCGGTTTAGCGGCGATAGGTGGCTTATCCCAGGTAGACTTGAGGTCCTTTACCTTGGAGGACGTGAAACTTGAGAGGACGGGGACAGAGGTTGGAGGACTAGGCGATACTTCGTCCATTTCCCCACCGTCCGGTCGTCCTCGGGACTGGAAAGAGTGAAGGTCCTCGCAGGACGAGTTGGATTTACTCTCAACATTCTCATTTTGAACTAGACAACAAAAAAACATGTTAGAATTAAACAATTTTTTTTGTAAAAATGCACAGCTTGAATGTAAACCTTATAAAGGATGTACTTTTACAATAACAAAGTTACTGGACATTCAGTTAATTTTGGTTTGAAACTTTTGTATTTCTTCGCTAATTTGGAAAGCAATAAAAAGCAAACCACATTTGAAGTATTTGAAGTATTGACACGACTTTCACCCAGCAAGAGCAAGCTGTGTACAACACACAGACTTAAACATGGTAAAACGGTACGGTACACCCAATCACAATTCCTTCTAGGGAATATGAAGAACTTATCATGTTTACCTGAAACTGTTCTCTCCGGGGGATCTGGTTTAGTTCTAGTATTGGTTGGAGAGGGATCCAGGGAGGAATCCGAACCATCGAACAGAGCGTGTTCACGGGGAGAGGCCGGGGCTTCACGAGGAGATAACAGGTTCTCCAAGATAATACTGTCAATTGGAGATGTCGGGGATAGAGGACTAGATATAGAATTTAGAGATTCCTGGCTCTCTCTTCTATATTCTGGTTTTGTGGAGGTCTTGGGTCCCATTTTTTTAGAATTTCCTCCGTCAAATTTAAATTTTGTTGGTTCGCTGTGAAGCTCTTGACTAGACTTTTTGGCTTGACCGTCTGGGGACTTGACATTAATCACTGTTACAAAAGGATTTTTACCGGATTTCTTCAAATCCTCTTCCACGCTTTCCAAATCAAGATGGAGGGAGGAGCGCAGATTAGCAAGAGAATGCCGCAAACATTGATCATCTAAAAATTTCTGTTTATCTCCTTCCTTCTCATCGCAATCCTAAAAACAAGCAGGTTGTGTATCACATTAAAATTCTATTAATTATACATAATGAGAGTGTGTGATTTTACAGAAAACCAAGAAAATTACTTACCATTGAATCATTGTCATAGTCTTCAACTTTCTTTGCAGGTTCAACATCAAGTTCAGGTTCAGGATCAACAGTTCCATTTGTTTTTGTTTCAATCTCCTTAACTTCTTTATTTGCACCTTTGGCCCTGATCAAATCAAATAATATTGTCCAGTTTTCTATATGTAAACAAAATGTAGTGAAAGAAAACAGACATTTTATAGTTTAATATTAATAAAGTGAATCCGAAGCGTAAAACTTTACAAGTTTACAGTGCTGAAAATGCGTACAAATTGATGTTTTCTTCAAAACATAGACAATTGAAAAGAATTTACAATTAGATTATTGTCATATAAAAATCAGGAATTATAGCTTTATCTATGATATTTGATTTTAATCAAAAAAAAAATTTTTTTTGTTTGAAATATTTTTCTCATTTGCTCTTTTTCTCATGGAACTTTTCCCCAAAAATCAATTTTCTTTTCTTACATTTGGCGCTGTAAACTATAGATATATAGATAAGTTCTAAATATTTTTAATTCCTAAAACAAACCATCTGTTAAAATTGATTTACTGTTGCCTTACCTGTGTACTTCAATATCAGTGAGTAGTTTATCTAAATAGAGAACATACATCTCCTCCTTTTCCAGCTCTTCCCGAAGCTGTAGAACCCGTCCCTACAATATATATATATATACAACATGCATTTCCTACTTCTCCATCTCTTCTCGGAGCTGCAGAACCAGTCCCTGATTATTGCAATGATAATAATGATAATATACCCTAGAAGATTATAACAATGCTAATACACCCTATTACAATGATAATAATGATAATATACCCTAGAAGATTATAACAATGCTAATACACCCTAAAGGATTATTACAATGATGATAATAATATACCCTAGATGATTATTACAATAATAATAATAATAATATACCCAAGATGATTATTACAATGATAATGCTAATACACCCTAGATGATTATTACAGTGATAATAATGATGCACCCTAGATGATTATTACAATGATAATAATAATACACCCTAGATGATTATTACAATGATAATAATAATAATATACCCTAGTAATTATTACAATGATAATAATAATATACCCGAGATGATTATTACAATGATAATGATAATACACCCTAGATGATTATTACAATGATAATAATAATAAACCCTAGATGATTATTACAATGATAATGATAACACACCCTAGATGATTATTACAATGATAATTAATATACCCTAGATGATTATTACAATGATAATGATAATATACCCTAGATGATTATTACAATGATAATAATAATATACCCTAGATGATTATTACAATGATAATGATAACACACCCTAGATGATTATTACAATGATAATTAATATACCCTAGATGATTATTACAATGATAATAATAATATACCCTAGATGATTATTACAATGATAATGATAACACACCCTAGATAATAATTATAATGAAAATAATAATATACCCTAGATTATTATTACAATGATAATAATAATATACCCTAGATGATTATATTATTAGAATGATAATAATAATACACCCTAGATGATTATTACAGTGATAATGATAAAACACCTTAGATGATAATTACAATGAAAATAATAACATACCCTAGATGATTATTACAATGATAATGATAATACACCCTAGATGATTATTATAATGATAATGATAACACACCCTAGATGATAATTACAATGATAATAATAATACACCCTAGATGATTATTACCATGATAATGATAATATACCCTAGATGATTATTACAATGATAATAATAATATACCCTAGATGATGATTACGATGATATTAATAATATACCCTAGATGATAATTACAATGATAATAATGATACACCCTAGATGATTATTACAGTGATAATGATAAAACACCTTAGATGATTATTACAATGATAATAATATACCCTATGTTTAGCGAGGTTCTGTCTGACATCTTCCTCCCAGGCCTCAGGCAGTTCACTGTTTGGAAACCTGGAGGTCCAGGCCTAAATATAGAGGTCAGACTTAAACACTTCTAAAACTTAAAGAACGTTTTTGCAAAAAAAATTAATCCTAATCCAATTCAGATTTGATCTCTTTGCAAGCTGCAGCAGATAGCATTTGCCTCTCGCATATGAAAGAACAAAATCAAATAGTTAATTATTTTTTCCAAAAAGTAAAATGATTGGTTTTGTCATTTAAAAAAAATCAGATTCGGAAGAGGGTAAAAGATGTTTGAAACGGAAAGATCAGCACATTGATCCAAAATATGCAAACTTTCATGCAAAGTCCATTTTGCCAAAGGGTTATGACCCGATCTTAAAAGTTGAGGCATAATTTTCCCAGCTTATCTCTCACTCTACGTAAGAGGGGAAGTGGGCTCACCTGACAGAAGTCCTGAAAAGTATCGTTGCTCATTCTTCAATTTTCGCCCATTTTTCTGAAAATAAAATTATTTGAAAATTCAAACTTTAATCCACCCTTTTTACATATATTTTGCTTTTCTCATTGTCACTTAGATAGAGGTTCATGGATACTGTTGTGAATAGGAAATACCACTATCAAAAGATATCCTTTAGATAGCTTTTTGAATCACTTGTAAAAAAATATTTTATCCGAACTTCATAATTTAATAATTAAAACTACGTGAGTATGTAAAATGTATGCTGTATCTCACAGCCTTAAAATAACAAATGATTTTTTCAGGGTTGATAAAGGCTTTAGAGAATTCAGTCCGAGAAGATAATTCAGCAAACCTACCATCAAAAATCCAATTTCAAACTAAATTTAAATCTGTTTACTTAAACCAAACAAAGTGCATTAAAAAAAATCAGTGAAAGTCAAAACTCCAATCTCCCCCCCTCCCCATCCTAAAAAAATATTTTTTTTGAAAATTAACAATATGCAAAATGTAAATGAAAGTTTAATCTATATATATACTTTGCTTGTCTGTCTGTTAATATCCAATAAACGTCAAAACGGCTAAACTGATCGGGCCCAATTTGTTGGTGAGACCTCGCGTGACCCCAGCTAAGGTTTATGGATGATCGAATTTTCAAAAATGTGCCTGTAACAAAATTCGATCATTGAAAATTTTGAAAACCTTGAATTTTTTTTACAAAATTCTCGAAATCTGTTATGTTTTTGTTTTACAATGTATACAAAGAGAATATGTTTACAATTAAAATAGAAGATGGTCGCGAAGTGTTCTATAGTCTAGTTCTACATAAAACTATAACACATTACTCTAGAGTTTGCAATGAGCTAAACAAATACAAAGAATACGTCATTGTGTACAGATGAATCATTTTTAACTTTTTGTTGATCAAAGACTTGTTATAAGGAAAAAAACATGTTTCCGTTAATGCATTCTTATCGTGTTACAATTTATTTGAAATTTTAATAAAGATGATTTTTTTGGTAAAAATATCAATATATCATTAAATTTCAAGTTACAAATGGAGGTTCAATTGATCTTAGCTACAAGGTGTCCCACGAAATAATGACAGTTGGTGAATAGTTTTGAATGTCTTCTTCCACATACTGGTATTAGATATTAAAAGACTTTATGCAGTTCATTTTAAAAAAATGTTTAACTCATATATATTTTACTGTGAAATCAATTTTACCATAATATATCTGTCACATAAAAAATGTTATTAGTCTCTTTAGTATCAAACAACTTATCAAATTATGGAAGAAGATATTTTAAACTATTCACCAACTGTCATGTTTCGTGGGACACCCTGCAAGTCAATGATTTTACGTCGTCTTCAATCCACGTGACGTTTGATTGTAAACCTTGTTAAAAAAGGACCCCATCTATATATAAATTTGGCTTGTCTGTCTGTTTGTCTGTCTGTTTGTATCCAATAAACGTCAAAACGGCTGAACCGATCGGGCCCAAATTTTTTGTGGGACATCTAGGGACCCCAGGGAAGGTTTATGAATGATTGAAATTTTAAATATTTGTCTCCATCAAAATTCGATCGTCATTAAATTTTTGAAAATTTTGAAAATCCGCGAAATTTTTTGTGAAAATCCGCGAATTATTTTTGTTTTGTTTTACGATGTACACAAAGAGAACATGTTCACAATTAATTTAGATGATGGGCGCGAAGCGCCCTCTAAGGCTAGAAAGAAGGGCGCGAAGCGCCTTGAATTTCTAGTAAATTTAAAATTTAGCCCACACAAAATTGTTACAAGTTAAACTAAAACTAATTTTGAATTTTAAAATTATAAACTGTACATGTGTGGTGTGCATTGTGCACTGGATAATTTATAGGTAACGCGCGTGCAAGAAGGAATTAATTGCAAAGTAAAACTTTGTGGTTGAGTTTGAAACCTAAATTCGAGATAAATATGATAATTAAAAATAACAAAGTTTTTAAATTCTCTAGGTCAAGGTTTTGCTAAAAAAGTTGGAATTTTTATTTTATTAAATGAAGATAATCTGAGATTTTCTTTTAGAAAGTATTTTGTTTTCTGTAGCCTTAGAGGTGTTGTATGGTTGACTGGATGGCTATGAATATAGTTTGCGGAATAATATTTATGGTTTTGCTAAACCATCTTAACTGCAAAGCACCGACCTTAGGTGTAGGACATGGCCATGCACTTTTTTACCAATAATAACCCTAACTCGTCTTTATCAGGGTTGCAAGAAGGAACTTTATTTTGAACGATCAAAATAAAGCAGCAGAGACAAAGGATAAATCAACGAAATTTATCTCTTTCTGGCATTTAGAGCTTTAAAATATTGTCACTAGAAATGATGTCTCTTAAAAGTGATTATTTAAAATGATGGACAAAACCTCTTAAGATTAAGAGTAAAAAAGTAGATGGTAGTTCCGCATTTATTGAAAATATATTTCGGTCTAGGTGGACCGTTAGGGTTGCAAAGAATGGGAATATGTGAGAAGAAACCGACTAAAGAAATGAAAACGTTGATACAGAATTTTATCTAAAACGAGGCTTCCAGCTTTACAGTTGCTTTCTGCGTCACCATCTTCAATCGTTCTCAGCAATAAACAACGGAATTTTATTATTTAATTGGTAAATTTTTAAGATCAAACAAAAAATTCATTTTTTTTCTGGGCAAATTAAAAAAAATTATTGCCCAGGAACATTAAACTTGGGTCATGTGGGTTGCACCAAAAATGTTAGGCCTAATCGGTTTAGACGTTTATTGGGTTCAAACAGACAAGCAAAGTATATATAGTAAATAATGCAGATTGCAAGAAAAAAAGAACTAAGAGTGTGCACTGTGCAAATGTTTTTTCTAAAAAATAAAAAAAATTTATTTTTAATAATTTGACCGTTTTTTATACTTTTTTTACAGTCAAATATCCATGAATTTAAATGAATGGGAGGGGGGGAGGGGCTTAAAAATAGTAAATGAGGAAGAGAAAAAAGTGTGTATGGTTAAAGGGTGTTGCTGGTATTTTAATATTTTATGGATTCCAAGAGAGTGATTCAATCTTCATACATCTGTCTTTATTGTTAAATTATTCTAAATGCTTGCTATAATATGTAATATTTTCAAACAGAGCTGAACCATTTTTTAATATTTTCAAGCTTTGTTATGCTTAGAATAACCATGTACTTTGTCATACGTACTTAACTTTGAATTCTTAGCTTATAGTACTATTTAAAGTATTACACTACAGTCCTGATTCTCTAGGATATATAGTAAAAGACTAATCTCAGGTTCTCTATAGGAGGGGTAGTCTACTAGTCTATGGTTCTCTAGAATGTATTCGTCTATGTTTCTCTAGGACGGGTAGTCTACTCGTCTCTGGTTCTCCAGGATGTATGGTGTACTCGTCTATGGTTCTCGAGGATATACAGTATACTAGTCTAGGGTTCTCTAGAACGGGTAGTCTACCAGTCTATGGTTCTTTTGAATGGGTAGTCTACTCGTCTATGGTTCTCTAGGACGGGTAGTCTAGTAGTCTATGGTTCTCTAGAACGGGTAGTCTACTACTCTATGGTTCTCTAGAACGGGTTATAGTATACTTGTCTATGGTTCTCTAGGACAGGTAGTCTACTAGTCTCTGGTTCTCTAGGACGATTAGTCTACTAGTCTAAGGTTCTCTAAGACGGGTAGTCTACTAGTCTATGGTTCTCTAGGACAAGTAGTCTACTAGCCTATGGTTCTCTAGAACGGGTAGTCTACTATTCTATGGTTCACTATAATCTATGTTTTACTAGTCTAAGCTTCTCTAGGACGGGTAGTCTACTAGTCTATGGTTCGCTAGGACGATTAGTCTACTAGTCTACGGTTCTCTAGAACAGGTATTCTACTAGCGTATGGCTCTCTAGAATGGGTAGTCTACTAGTCTACGGTTCTCTAGAACAGGTAGTCTACTAGCCTATGGTTCTCTAGAAGGGTAGTCTACTAGTTTACGGTTCCCTAGAACAGGTAGTCTACTAGCCTATGGTTCTCTAGTACAGGCAGTCTACTAGTCTATGGTTCTATAGAACGGGTAGTCTACTAGTCTATGGTTCTCAATGATGTATGTTTTACTAGTCTATGGTTCTCTAGAATGGTTAGTCTACTAGTCTATGGTTCTCTATGATGTATGTTTTACTAGTTTATGGTTCTCTAGAATGGGTAGTCTACTAGTCTATGGTTCTCTAGAACGGGTAGTCTACTAGTCAATGGTTCTCTAGAACGGGTAGTCTACTAGTCTATGGTTCTCTATGATGTATGTTTTACTAGTTTATGGTTCTCTAAAATGGGTAGTCTACTAGTCTATGGTTCTCTAGAACGGGTAGTCTACTAGTCAATGGTTCTCTAGAACGGGTAGTCTAATAATCTATGGTTCTATAGAACAGGTAGTCTACTAGTCTATGGTTATCTTTGATGGGTAGTCTACTAGTCTATGGTTCTCTATGATGTATGTTTTACTAGTCCATGGTTCTCTAGGACGGGTAGTCTACTAGTCTATGGTTATCTTAGATGGGTAGTCTACTAGTCTATAGTTCCCTATGATGTATGTTTTACTAGTCTATGGTTCTCTAGAACGGGTAGTCTACTAGTCTATAGTCTCTAGAACGGGGTACTAGTCTATAGTTCTTTTGAATGGGTAGTCTACTCGTCTATGGTTCTCTAGGACGGGTAGTCTGCTTGTCTATGGTTATCTTGGATGGATAGACTACTAGTCTCTGGTTCTCTAGGACGGGTAGTCTACTAGTCTATGGTTCTCTAGGACGGGTAGTCTACTATTCTATGGTTATCTAGGACGGGTATATTATACTAGGATGGGTGACTAGACGGATGGTTTGATTAATTTGATCCACGACTCTGATCCTCCCTACTAGCACAAGGGAGAGAGTTGGAAAACTGTGGAGTTTAGAAATTGGATATTTTTACAGAGGGAACTTTGATTGAGTGAGAACTCAATTTAATAATAGAAATTAATATATGTATGAGAGCTAAG